AAGGGCAAGATGGATGGATGGCATCCTTGAAGTGACTGGACTGACCTTGAGGGAGCTGGGGGTGGTAACGGCCGACAGGGAGCTCTGGCGTAGGCTGGTCCATGAGGTCACGAAGAGTCGGAGACGACTGAACGAATGAACAACAACAAATTCACAATATCTGCTTTGAACTGGAATATCTTGATATTCTGGGTTCTATGGCTGTCTGGAAGGGGCTGCAAGACATCCATGGACTCGAACTGCTGTTGTTGTTCCATTTTTATTGAAGGGAAAGTGTGGTTCACCTGACATTTTTGTCTTGATGAAAGGCTCTGTACTAACCGCTGATTTTTGAACTGTGTTATCTTGAGTCCACATTCAAATAATGTGGGTTTTTCTGCCTTTATATACTGGGATATAAGACTATGTGGAAGGGCCTTCAGTCTCATCTCTTGTTATCTTTGCCTCCCTTTTCCACAGCTTAGTCAATGCACAAATTACAGAGGAGCCCCAGCTGTATTGTTCCCTTTATTGTGAGAGGGCCATGGTCTGTTTACAGTGGGAGCAGAGCTTTAGCGCTGTCTGTCAGCCATCTGTGTTCTTCCCACTAAGAAAAGGAAGAGCTCCTAAAGTTTATTGGGCTTTAAAAATACTTACTGTTTTCTTTGCTTGTCTTTCTTGCTGGAGAAACTAAAGAGCACCACAAAACTGGGTATTTGTATGGCTGTGGAATTATTTCTTACAGCACCATTGCATCTCTCTCCATTTTAGCACTCTTTGCACACATTGCAATGCTAAAGCACAATCCAAAAGATACCTAAGTTTTCAGTTGTTTCTTGTTGAAATGTGGATATCCCAACAAACATTGTATTCTGTATTTATTTATTTATGGTATTTCTACCCCACCTTTCTCACCCCGGAGGGGACTCAAGACGGTTTTACATATAGACAACTTTTTGATGCCTTAAAACACAATGTACACTTAAATTAATATTAAAATAGAATTTTAAAGTACATTAAAAACAATTAAAACATTTCAAAACAATATATTCAGAGTTACACACACAATCCACGAACATAATCTGGACCGTTCCAATGGTCATTGTACATTGTTCCAAGTCTATCTATTGCACAAGTTCTCTAAAGCAGTGGTTCTCAACCTGGGGTCCCCAGATGTTTTTGGCCTTCAACTCCCAAAAATCCTAACAGCTGGTAAACTGGCTGGGATTTCTGGGAATTGTAGGCCAAAAACATCTGGGGACCCCAGGTTGAGAACCACTGCTCTAAAGGCTTGGTCACAAAGCCACATTTTCATTCTCGTGAAAGGTCGGGAGGGAGAGGGTTGAGCTAATATCCCTGGGGAAGGAGTTCCACAGCCGAGGGGCCACCACGGAGAAGGCCCTGTCTCTCGTCTCTGCCCATTGCACCTGCGAGGGAGGCGAGATCAAGAGCAGGGCCTCCCAAGATGATCTTAAATATGATATTAGATTTGTATCCTACCTTTCTCTGAAAAAAATTATCAAGGAAATACTAAAATATCCTCCACTATGGGCCCTATATTCCAGAATATCAAGGTAGAAAATCCCACAATATCTTCTTTGAACTGGGTCACCTGAGTCCACACTGCCATATATTTCAGTTCAAAGCAGATAATGTGGGATTTTATTCAGTTGTGGGGAAGGGGCCTATGAAACCAAAGGTTTTATTTAAAGTTTGGTGTACAATCACATGTGTTACAGTGATTTTTGAAGAGAAGCTTTGAAATGCAACAAGGCAGCTCTGACCAATTAAAAGTGGTTCAAAACTAAGGTTTCCTTAAACCCATTATGTCAAGAAGTGAAAGTACCATCACCAGGGGCTTTGAGGGAAGGGGCAGCGTTTATATCCCTTGCTGCCTTTGGCTCAGCTTTTGTGGACCGCTTGGTGCTGCTGGACTCTATCTTGACTGGCCTCCATTTCAGCATCCTTGGGTCAACACAGAGATACTAACATTTGTTTATTCCAGCCATGGCCCTTGATTCACCTGAGCCCTCTCTTGAGTGAACACTGCCACCCTGGTTTGGCATCTCATTCTTCCCCTGATGGAACATCTGCTCTGTTAAAACTATTTTTAATATGTTTTATTGCATTTATATGTTTTAAATGTTTTATAATTTGATATGTTATATTTATTATTTTTATTGCACTTACTGCATTTATATGTTTTAATTGTTTTATAATTTGATATGTTATATTTATTTGTTGTATGATGCGGCATTGAATGTTGCCATAATCTGTAAGCCGCCCTGAGTCCCCTTCGGGGTTGAGAAGAGCGGGGTATAAATACAGTAATAAAATCTATATAAATAAAAATGTAATGTTCGTTTGTGATACCATCAGAACTCAAAAACCACTGGGGGAATTGACACCGAATGTGGACACTAGACACTATCTCAAGCAAGCTATGTTCTCCACTCACAAAAACCCAAAAAAATATTTCATTTACATATTTTGATTTTAAAAATTATTATTTACATTACATTACATTATTTATATTACATTATTTTATTTTAATATTTTAATATTTCAAATTTAAAATTAAAATTGTTTAATTTTAATATTATTCCTTTAATTTTAATATTATAATTTATACATATTTAATATTAACATTTCATAATACTTTATTTTAATGTATTTTATTTGGTTTAATTATGAAATATTTAATTAATAATTTGTTTTTACAATAATTATTTAATTTTAAATTACTTAACTTTAATGTTTTAATTTTAAAATATTAAACTGTTAACCTTTACAAAATTTAGATCTAAAAATACTTAATTAACTTTAAAATATTTTACTGTTAGTATTTTAATTTTAAAAGTATTTAGTTGTTTACTTTTCAAATATTTTCCATATCACCAAGCTAGGCCACAGCAATGAGTGGCTAGGAGGGAGGCCGGGGAGGGAGGGAGGGGGATCGCCGGGGAAGGGGCCCTTTGATGCCATGCACGGAAGGACGGGCGCGGGAAACCCTTTGAGGTATAGGAAGGGGCCCCAAAGGCCATCCAGTCCAACCTCATTTTACAGTAAAGGAAGACACCATCCAAGCCCTCCCGACAGATGGTCAACCAGTTGGAAGGGAGTCCCAGAGGCCATCCAGTCCAACCCCCTCTGTCTGTCTGTCCATCCATCCTTCAATCCATCAATCACTCCATCTACATAGCTATCTACCTACTACCTACCAACCTATATATGTTCTATCCATCTACCTTCTGTTCCATCTATCAATGTCCCTTCCATCTGTCCCTTCTGTCTATTGCTTCAACTGGAATTCCTCGCTTATCTGAGGGCCACAGCAATGCGTGGCAGGGTACAGCTAGTAAATAATAAATTAGGAATTGTAACAGGAAAGTATGAGTTTAGGTAGTTGAACCAGAATTAACACACTAAATGTATGGGAACACTTGAGCTTGTGCTTGATATTTAAACTGAATTTAAGAGGCACCTGGACATCATTCTAGAATAAGAGATTGGCAAGTGTTGCCATCCAGTTGCTTTTGTCTGCAATGCTAATCAAAGTCAAGCCAAACCTTTATTTACAGTCAGTGACCAGTGAAGAATTTCACTTTACATATACATCAGTAGAGTATTTACTGTACTGACATCCGTAGGGATACCAAGGTGCTTGTCTATAAAGATATTGTCCTCTCAACCCTGATATATGCCTGCGAAACGTGGACTGTCTACAGACGTCACATGCAACTCCTGGAACAATTCCATCAGCGCTGCCTCCAGAAAATCCTGCAAATCTCTTGGGAAGACAGGTGGACAAATGTCAGAGTGCTGGAAGAAGCAAAGACCACCAGCATTGAAGTGATGGTCCTCCACCATCAACTCCGCTGGACTGACCACGTTGTCCGGATGCCCGACCACCGTCTCCCAAATCAGTTGCTCTACTCCGAACTCAAGAACGGAAAACGGAATGTTGGTGGACACGAAAAGCGATTTAAAGATGGGCTCAAAGCCAACCTTAAAATCTCTGGCATAGACACTGAGAAGCCCTAGTCCTTGAGCACTCCAGCTGGAGGTCAGCTGTGACCAGCAGTGCTGCAGAATTTGAAGAGGCACGAATGGAGGGTGAAAGAGAGAAACATGCCAAGAGGAAGACCGTCAAGCCAACACCGACCAAGACTGCCTTCCACCTGGAAACCAATGCCCTCACTGCGGGAGAAGATGCAGGTCAAGAATAGGGCTCCACAGCCACCTACGGATCCACAAGAATACTGATCATGGAAGACTGTACTACTTGTCCAACGAGGGATCGCGATAGATAGATAGATAGATAGATAGATCGATATCGATATAGATATATACACACACACAGTATTTACATTAGGTTATGATATAAATTAAGATTTGCCACCATTTAAACATACTTTTTTTCATTCGTTCAGTTGTCTCCGACACTTCGTGACCTCATGGACCAGCCCACGCCAGAGCTCCCTGTCGGCCGTCACCACCCCCAGCTCCTTCATGGTCAGTCCAGTCACTTCAAGGATGCCATCCATCCATCTTGCCCTTGGTCGGCCCCTCTTCCTTTTACCTTCCACTTTCCCCAGCATAATTGTCTTCTCTAGGCTTTGCTGTCTCCTCATGATGTTGCCAAAGTACTTCAACTTATAACTTAAAGATACTTATAAAACCCTAATTTGCCTATAGGTTTTGAAAAAATAACCTAGACCTTAAAACTATATCGTATTAAAATAACTCATCCCGTACTAGCCAACTGCAACCCTAATCAACATCGGGGAGGATGGAACTGTAGTCATTCAACAACTGGAGAGTCACGGTTGTCTATCCTAATTCTAGAACAGGGAATATTCTGGTTTATGTAAGAGATTTTACTTTGCAAGTCAGATTGGAGGAAGTAGCTAAACATCTCAGATTGCTAGGACAGGGAATCCTTTCCTCTGGCTAGAAACGCTTTTTAATATCCTGTATAAATAAGTGCAGTTTTCTTCCTCAACTTTGTTTGACCGCAGGTAATTTCAATGCCCTCTCTGTGGACATGAACGCTACTGGAATGCTTGGATTTACAGCAGCGCCTCCATTCACTTGCTTTCGTCAGCCCTGTTGCGAGAAGATGGCAAAAGCGAACATTACTAGGGATCTCATCCACAGACAGCTCAAGGTGTGTCTTGTTTTAAAGAATATTTTGCTTGGGTTGCTGTGAGTTTTCCGGACTGTGTGGCCATGTTCCATAAACATTTTCTCCTGTCGTTTTGCCACATCTACAGCAGGCATCTTCAGAGATTGTGATGCAACCCCCCCCCCCTTTTTTTTTTTGTTATGCCAGGAGCGACCTGAGAAACTGCAAGTCGCTTCTGTTGTGAGAGAATTGGCCATCTCCAAGGATGTTGCCCAGGGGACGGCCGGATGATTTGATGTTTTATCATCCTTGTGGGAGGCTTCTCTCATGTCCTCGCATGAGGAGCTGGAGCTGATAGAGGGAGCTCATCCGCCTCTCCCCAGATTTGAACCTGCAACCTGTCGGTCTTCAGTCCTGCCGGCACAGGGGTTTAACCCACTGCACCACAGGGGGCTCCCTCCCCCCCCCCAAATCTTTACCTTGTTTTTCTGGGATTGGGGTAAAGGGGAACAGTAGCAGATGAAAACATGGATTGTCTTGGGGTGCATCTGCTGTGGTTTGACACCACTTTAACTGGCAAGGCTCACTACTGTGGAATCCTATGTTGTTTGGTGAAGCACTAGCACTCTTTGGCAAACAATGCCAAAGGTCTTATAAAACCACAAATCCTATAATTCTGTATCATTGAGCCATGACAGTTCAAGTAGTGTCACACTGCAGTCATTCGACAGTTTAGATGCACCCCAAGTGTCACATTTAAAAGCCTTCTGTTTTGTTCATACATTTGATTCAGATGTCACTGTCAGACTATTCTTTGGCATTATGGCAAGAGGCTCTTAAAGTTGATCTGAGAAGGGCAAATGAAAGATACTGCTTTGCCCTTTCTCTATTTTTTGCCCAGTTTGAAACTGAAAAAAGACCATAACACAGTGGTTCTCCACCTTCCTAATGCCGCGACCCCTTGATACAGTTGCTCATGTTGTGGTGACCCCCAACCATAACATTTTTGTTGGTACTTTATAACTGTAAGTTTGGTATTGTTATGTAAATATCTGATATGCAGGATGTATTTTCATTCACTGGACCAAATTTGGCACACGTACCCAATATACTGGTGGGGTTGTGGGGGGGGGGGTAGTGATTTTGTCATTTGAGAGTTGTAGTTGCTGTGATTTATAGTTAACCTACAATCAAAGAGCATTCTGAACCCCACCAATGATGGAATTGAACCATACTTGTCACACAGAACTCTCATGACCAACAAAAATACTGGGTTTGGTGGGCGCTAACCTTGAGTTTGGGATTTGTAGTTCACCTACATTCAGAGAGCACCGTGGACTCAAACAATGATGAATCTGGGCCAAACTTGGCATGAATACTCAATATAACCAAAATGTGAACACTGATGGAGTTTGGGAAAAATAGACCTTGACATTTGGGAGTTGTAGTTGCTGGGATTTATAGTTCACCTACAATGAAAGAGCATTCTGAACCCCACCAATGATTGAAACTTCCCACATAGAACCCCCATGACCAACAGACAATACTGTGTTGTTGTAGGTTTTTTCGGGCTATATGGCCATGTTCTAGAGGCGTTTTCTCCTGACGTTTCGCCTGCATCTATGGCAAGCATCCTCAGAGGTAGTGAGGATGCTTGCCATAGATGCAGGCGAAACGTCAGGAGAAAATGCCTCTAGAACATGGCCATATAACACGAAAAAACCTACAGCAACCCAGTGATTCCGGCCATGAAAGCCTTCGACAAGACAATACTGTGTTTTCTGATGGTCCTTGGCGACCCCTCTGACACCCCCTCGCGACCCCTACAGGGGTCCCGACCGCCAGGTTGAGAAGCACTGCCATACATATCATATTGTTCCTTAACCCAGCGTTGTCCATGTTTGTGAATGCAACTCCTGTCAATCCTTTCTGGCATTGCTAGTAGGATCAAATGGTAGTCTGATGAACATTGTAGTCCAAACACATCTGGACGGCATCTGGCTGAAGAAGGCTTTCATTACACTGCATCATGTAACATAGGAATGGCTGTGAGAAATGTTGTGGAACATTTTTTAAAAAAATTTCCCAGCTGCATTGATATGCTATAGCAAAAACAAAGAATTTCTTCAGACTAGGAAGTGAACTGGTGCCCATTTTGTCTAGTTTAACTATTATCCAAAATTGAGGGGTATGTAACAATGTGGATTATAGGAAGTTGGATAGTAGGCAGTTGGGTCAGAGAGAAATTGCAGGCAGGAAATACTAACAGTGGCAATCATGCCTAACCATGTTTTATGTTCATTGGGATTCGTTGCTCAAGTCATGAATTGTCCTGAAGACCATTCAAATGGTTATTGCTGGTGTATCTGTCCTGCCACTTTTTAGCTATTCCTATCTCTGATTTTGTAACTTGGTCAACAAACTAGTGGGAAACCATTTTTCTGGAATTCAGATGTAATGGTGAGCCAGAGTTTGTAAACCAGCTACAAGCTGTAGCTTCAAGCTATGATTTTGTGTCAAGCTGACAGTTACCTCTTCTTTTTCTGGATAAGTTCAGAAAGAAGAAAATCCAGAACTCAGTAAACCACAGACTGTCTTGCCATTGCATGACAGTCTGCTCATTGTTTCCAAGAACTTGAAATATCAGAATTGGAAAATGTCACGTGCAGTGCATTTTGTGCTTAAATGAAACAACATTAGATTTGTTGTTGAAGGCTTTTATGGCCGGAATCACTGGGTTGCTGTGAGTTTTCCAGGCTGTCTGGCCATTTTCCAGAAGCATGCTCTCCTGACATTTCACCCACATCTATGGCAGGCATCCCCAGAGGTTGAGGGGTCGGTTCGAAACTAGGCAAGTGAGGTTTATATATCTGTGGAATGTCCAGGGTGGGAGAAAGAACTCTTGTCTGCTTGAGACAAGTGTGAATGTTGCAATTCCACGGATATATAAGCCCCACTTGCCTAGTTTCTAACCCAGGGGTCCTCAAACTTTTTAAACAGAGGGCCATGTCATAGTTCCTCAATCTGTTGGAGGGCCGGATTATAATTTGTAAAAATATGAATTCCTATGCACACTGCACATATCTTATTTGTAGTGCAAAAACACTTAAAAACAATACAATAATTAAAATGAAGAACAATTTTAATAAATATAAAAAACACTTAAAAACAATACAATAATTAAAATGAAGAACAATTTTAATAAATATAAAAGAACAATTTTAATAAATATAAAATATTTAATAAATATAAAATATAAATGCCGCTTTGAGTCGCCTGAGGGCTGAGAAAAGCGGTATATAAATAAAGTAAATAAAATTAATATTTCAATGGGTAGTGTGGGCCTGCTTTTGCCTGATGAGATAGGATTGTTGTTGTTGTTGTGTGCTTTCAAGTCGTTTCAGACTTAGGTTGACCCTGAGCGAGGGCTGGGTAAATGACCTTGGAGGGCCTTAGTTTGAGGACCCCTGTTCTAACCCAATCTCTGAGGGTGCCTGCCATAGATGTGAGTGAAACGTCAGGAGAGAATGCTTCTGGAACATGGGTATATAGCCTGGGAAACTCACAGCAACCCAACATTAGATTTATTACTCTTTTATTGATTGATTAAGAAGGGCCATGCTTACATAGTGCAAAAAGTATGGTGTTCATTTGTTCTTCACAGGAGAAGGGTGCCCTCAGCTTCGAACGCCATTATCATGTTACAGACCCGTTTATCCAGCGCCTGGGCTTGGAGGCTGAGCTGCAGGTAAGCACTGGAAACATTGAAATGCATACCTGTCCTAATATAATAACCACTGAACACACGACTGCTAATAATGCAGGTGCAGTTTTTTGCTCCTCAAGAGTGAATATTCCCCTTTTGGCATGCCTTTTGGAAACATTCCCTGAGGAATACGGTCCTGTGCTTTTATTTTCCATTTCTGGCCGAATAGCTTAACCATTGGTTTGTCCCATCCAATACGAGGTCTTCTTGGGGCTCCATGAGACACTTTTGCTTCAAAAAGGGCTCTATGGCTGAAAAAGAGAAAAATATTTTTTAGCAAGTGGAGAACTAGAACACAGCTCAAATACTTCTCCCTATGTGGTTTTTTTAATGTGGATATTTATTTTTCATCCATCAAGGGAATTTCCAGTTTTAGTTTATCGTAGTGCAGGCCAGGCACAGGTTTATGACTGGAAAGAACTATTCAGCTATCTGTTTTCAAATTACTTAAAAAACTAGGCATGTTCTAACTAACGGAAGGAATTACATCTTTTTTTCTTTGGACAGTCTTAAATGTAATATTTGGGTATCACTTTCTGTTTTCTTTGTTTAGGGTCACACAGGCTGTGTCAACTGTCTTGAATGGAATGAAAAGGGAACGTAAGTATTACTTCAAAATACAAAGGATTGACAAATACCTATTGCAGCATGTATTCTAAGTTGGATGAAGGGATCTTGTACATCAGGGAGTGTAACTGTTTTTATAGTGAATGGATTTGCAGTTTCCTTTTGTGCAGCTCAGTCAAATGCTGCCTCTACTGTAGTCTTTCAACTTTTAGGGATAACATTTGATAAATTGCTTAAAAACCCCAAAGATCTGGTGTGTTCATGTTGTGGCTGTTAACTATAGTGGCAAAATGAATTCGGTTGTTGTGTGTTTTCCGGGCTGTATAGCCATGTTCCAGAAGCATTCTCTTCTGATGTTTCGCCTGCATGGGCTCTACTGGCCAATGGATACTCCACCTCAGACATCAGAAGAGCTGCAAGACCAAGAACAAGCCATGAGAGTAAAGATGAAGATCCACCCAGAGGAAAAGTGTTCCTGCCATACATCAAGGGAACCACTGACCGCATAGGGAAGCTGATGAAGAAACCCAACATACAAACCACCTACAGACCCACCAAGAAAATCCAACAAATGCTACGTTCAGCAAAGGACAAGAGGGATCCACTCACCTCTGCAGGAGTCTACCGTGTACCATGCAGCTGTGGACAAGTCTACATAGGGACCACCAAACGCAGCATTGCCCAAACACCAATCAAGGAACATGAAAAGCACTGTAGACTGATTCAACCAGAGAAGTCAGCCATAGCAGAGCGCCTGATGAACCAACCTGGACACAGCATATTATTTGAGAACACAGAAATGCTGGACTACTCTCACAACCACCATGTCAGACTACACAGAGAAGCTATTGAAATCCACAAGCATGTGGACAATTTCAACAGAAAGGAAGAAACCATGAAAATGAACAAAATCTGGCTACCAGTATTAAAAAACTCAAAAATTACAACAGCAAAACAACAGAGAGTAAACAATCAGGCACATCTAATCACTCTCAACAAAAGATTCTCCCCAGGCACTTCCAAGCCATTAAATGCTAGTCAATGTGGTCAGTTGAAACATTCACACCTAGCTCCAGCAGACAGAAGTTCTTTGTCCCACCCTGGTCATTCCACAGGTATATAAACCCATTTTCCTACTTCCAACAGACCTCACTACCTCTGAGGATGCTTGCCATAGATGCAGGCGAAACGTCAGGAGAAAATGCCTCCAGAATATGGCCATCTAGCCCGGAAAAACCTACAACAACCCAGTGATTCCGGCCATGAAAGCCTTCGACAATACATTGTCCATAGAATTGTTTAGTGATGAATACCAGGCAGTGGTTTACAGCAGTGATTCGCAACCTTCGGACTGGCATATGTTTTGGATTTCAGCTCTCAGAATTCCTGACAGTTGGCCAAACTGATTGGGGCTTCTAAGAGTTGATGTCCCAAGAACTTGCAGGACCAAAAGTTGGAACCCACTGGTTTAGAAGAAAGCACCTGCTTGTGAACTTCTAGAAGTCTTTGGCAAGAGCGTTCTCACATTTGTCTTAATAGAATGCTGTTTTGGCATAAGTTACAGTAGTGAGAATAGAATATACTGAATATATTGTCCTTAAAGCCATGTTCCTTGAGGTCTGTAGAGAACAATTTAGAAGCCTGCTGAAGGCTGTCAGTGGCGGCTATGGGCCATGTTGAAATGATAGCTATAAGCAAGGCCAACTTTACCAAGTGACAATGTAAATTGGTTACATTCACAGCAAATACCTGAATACAGGGAACAGCTAGAAGGTTGTGGAGAACAAAGCAAAACTTGGCTATGGGACCAAGCTTTCAGGACAGGGCAATGAAGCGGCAGTGGGAAAGATGACAGGGCCAATTGGATTTGATGCGGATGGCTAGGACGGTTTTAAATGGTGTATTTTAATCTATATAAATAAAAATGTAATGTTCGTTTGTGGGATTAACAGAACCCCAAAACCAGTGGGCCAATTGACACCAAATTTGGATGTCCTTCACTCAAAAAAATTGATTTTGTCATTTGGGAGTTGTAGTTGCTGGGATTTATAGTTCACTTACAATCAAAGATGATTCTGAACCCCACCAACGATAGAATTGGGCCAAACTTCCCACACAGAACGCTCATGTGGGCCACAGCAACGCGTGGCAGAGGACAGCTAGTCTATATAAATACATATGTAATGTTCATTTGTGGGATTAACATAACTGAAAAACCACTGGATGAATTGACACCAAATTTGGCCACTATACCCTTAACAGACCAATGAGTGACCATCACTCATAAAAACCCCCAAAAAGCAGCAGAAAGGGCTTAAAAACCCCAAAAATGACAATACAGATGCAGATGCCCAACTTAGTAACCATGGAGCCCTTACTCTGCAGAGATCAGGGACGCACGTTTCTGAAGTGCTGCCTTCGAGCCCAACTCTTTTCCAGCCTATGTTTAGAAAGAAAGAATGAAGGAGGGAAAGAGAGAAGGAAAGAAGGGGAGAAGGAGGGAGGGAAAGAAGGAAAAAAGCAGAGAAGGAGAGAATGAGGGAGGGAAAGAAAAAGTTGGGTATGCAGGAAAGACGTAGAGAAGGAATGAAGGAGAGAAAGAGGGAGGGAAGGAAAGAAAGAAAGAAAGATAGAAGGAAGGATGGAACCAAAGAGCGAAGGAAGGAAGGAGAGAGAGAAGGAAAAAAGGAGAGAAAAGAAGGGAAAGAAAAAGGGGGGGGGAGGAAGGAGATAAAGAAAGAAGGCGGGAAAGAGTGAGGGAATGTTGGCTACAGCCACATGTGCCAGGTCCAGCTAATATTTTGATAAATATTTTTTAATGTTTATGTATTGTATGTGAATTTGTGTCCCAGCATTGAATGTTTGCCATGTATATGCTGTGCTCTGCCCCGAGTTCCCTTCGGGGTGAGAAGGGCAGAATATAAATGTTTTAAATAAATAAATATGACATAGATTAACCCAAACTTAAATGTGCAAGATGTGGCAGAGGCCGCTATCTGATGTTTTGGATTTCTGGCCGATCTTTCCCCTCTCTGGAAATGGTACCCATTTGTCACTGGAGAGTTTCCTTTCCTGGAAGCTCTCCAGTGACTGTAATGGGTGATTTGGTGACTGGCATCTGTTCTTAGACCACCATTCTGAGTAGCACTGCAATAGAGGCCCCTGTTCATTATTGAAGTTTGATCCAGCTATACTGCGCACAGAGTGGAGGGATGTACAGTCTTGTCCTTCACCTCTGGCATGAAAAAGTAATATGTGTATTTTACAACCTTGGCTTCAAAGTTAGAATACATTTCTTATTCATGATTCAAGTGTTTGTGTAGCAGAAAAACTACTTGAGAAAATAATAGGTACCTCCGCCAATTTGTAGAATGCTCACTGAACAGAGAGGACAATGTGTTGTCGAAGGCTTTCAGTTACCGGAATCACTGGGTTGCTGTGAGTTTTCCAGGCTGTATGGCCATGTTCCAGAAGCATGTTCTCCTGATGTTTTGCCCACATCTATGGCAGGCATCCTCAGAGGCTGTGAAATTCTCATCTGCCATAGATGTGGGTGAAACATCAGGAGAAAATTATTCTGGAACATGGCCATACAGCCCGGAAAACTCACAGCAACCCAAAGAGGACAATTTCTATAAAGAATTGTCATTTGTCAGTGGGTGAACTGCTGTTGTCTGGTCCCATTTCTCTTAATCTACCCAGCAAATAGTGGAGCTTCCCTCTATTTCCTCATTGTTGCCTATAATTCTGCAATTTCAGTCTGTCAGAATGGCACTTGCATTTGAGTGTCAACTGAAAATGGATGTGGAATAGCAGCAATCATTTTGAAACTGCTTATGTAGCTTAACATGTAATGTTCTGCCTCCTTTTGCTTGTCAGCTTGCTGGCCTCAGGCTCTGATGACCAGCACACATTTGTGTGGGATCCCCTGCATCATAAGAAGCTCCTTTCCATGCACACGGGCCACACAGCAAACATATTCTCTGTCAAGGTGAGTCGGATTTGGAGTACGATTGCAGAAGGACATGAAATACTCTTGTTTTAAGGTTAGATATTTAGGGGCAGCTGGGGGATTTAGCTCTAGAATTTGAGTAGAAAATCTGGTACTGTTTAGTTATATGTACAAGTAGGAGTATATACAATTACAAGGGCAGGTATGCACAGGTACAAGTAGGCAAAAAGATGCCCTTCAAATGTTTTGAATGACAACTCCCACAATCTCTAATCTGTGTTTGTTGGGGCTTATGGGAACATCTAGAATAGACTACTGCAACGCACTCTACGTGGGGTTGCCTTTGAAGACTGCTCGGAAGCTTCAAATAGTCCAACGAGAGGCAGCCAGGTTAATAACTGGGGCGGCATACAGGGAGCATACAATTCCCATGTTATGCCAGCTCTACTGGCTGCCAGTTTGCTACCGGGCACAATTCAAAGTGCTGGCTTTGGCCTATAAAGCCCTGAAAGGCCCCGGCCCAAATTACCTGTCTGAACGCATCTCTCCCTATGAGCCATCATGGAGATTACGATCCTCCAGGGAGGCCCTGCTTTCCGTCCCGCCATTGTCACAGGCACGATTGGTGGGGACAATAGGCAGGGCCTTCCCGGTGATTGCTCCCCGGCTATGGACCTCGCTTCCTGATGAGATCAGGTCGGCCCCCTCCCTCCTGTCCTTTAGAAGGATGGTAAAAACTTGGCTGTGAAGCGGCAGTGGGGAAGATGACAGGGCCAATTGGATTTGATGTGGATGGCTAGGGCGGTTTTTAAATGGTGTATTTTAATATTATGATAAATGTTTTTTAATGTTTTTGTATTGTATGTGAATCTATGTCCCGGCATTGAATGTTTGCCATGTATATGCTGTGCTCCGCCCTGAGTCACCTTTGGGGTGAGAAGAGCGGAATATAAATGTTTTAAATAAATAAATAATTAACTGCATTCAAATTTTTTCCTTAAGGTCTCCATATTCCCTATCCCTAGTACCAATGTATTTTGAATTAAATAGTCCAAATAATAATAAAAAATAAAAATAATGTTATTTGTTATCTACCTTTGCTCATGGTTCAAGGTGGGGTACAGCACAATCAAAACATATCAACTTAAAATACATACCCCAAAACACATGGTACAAAGATCAATAATAAAATACAAAAACTCATGGTTCAGAGTTGATTGTCTTGGTCTGCCAGAAGAGATGGGTCTTCAATTCTGACCATTCATTTAGCTGTCTGATCTGTAAAATGACGGACTTACCAACTAACTGAGAGTATTCTTGCACAGTTTGTATACATTTCACTGAGGGTTGTGCAGAAAAAACATCCCTGTGGATTGTATCCAATGGGGCAAATATTCTGTCTCTTCCACCCTGCTGATCTAAATAGCATCCAGTATCCACAACCTGAGACAGCTTTTCACTGTATCTTTGATAAGGCTGTCACTGCTCAAGTATTTCACAGAACTGAAAACTGGATTTGTTTTTGCTTGCTCTGTGTTGAACTTCCCTCATTTTGTATTCAAGTATGTGATCGTGGTGTGAATTGGCTGCGATGACACAAACCTCTGGCAGCACACAATGGTCTGCATGGATTTTCTCACATTGCTCATTGCGTGCTTCCCAACCGTTGCCTTTGTGGCAGCCAGCTCACATGACATGTTTTGTCAAGCTTAGTCAGGGACTAAAGGGGAGAGACAGAAGAGCTGCACAGATTAAAACATTTAAGTGTGCAGTGGTATAATTTCCCTACTAATGTCAGCATAGAAGTAAAAACTCACTGTGAGTTATGGAGAAAAATAAAATGTTACCAGATGCATCTTGGTTCACCTATAAAAGGGATACTAGCAAGCACAAAGTTGTGAAGTCTTCCAAGATATGGAATGTATTGTGGAATAGCTGCATGTCTGTCAAAACATAGACGCCTTAAAGGGCCAGACTCAGAGTTAGTTCCAAAACAGAGTTTATTAAACAAAGGAAAAAGACTCAGAGACACTTAACTCAATGCCTCTGGTCAAAACTCAAAGGTAGAACCAGTCCTGGTTTCAAAAGGCTAACCAAAGTAATAATCTGGATTATCCAGAGAAAAGAACTGGATTAAACAAAGTACTCCGAAAGTCACACAAAACAGCACAGCATGCAAATGGTTAACAAAACAGAGAAGCCGCAGGGAAGAAAGCGAAGTCAAGCGAAGTCCAGGGTCGTAGCAAGCAGAATCCGAAGTAGCGAAGTTCCAATGTCCACAGAAGCAGCATCATAGTCAAACCAATTCAAGGCCAAGGAAGGGGGATATCTACACTCACGAGAATCCAAGCTGAGTCGAAAGCACACACAAACAGGAGAAGCAACCTGCAGATCCCAAACCCAATGCCAACATGGAACAGGCAGCGACAAGTCCAGACAGTACCCAATGCACGAACATATACTAACACCTTGCCTTCTGCAAAGATTCCCCATTTCCGAGCCTACTTTTATTACACAACATCTTCATCAGAAGATGAGCTGACCACCGCCCCATGATTATCCCTTGCAGCTACTCCCAACTCTTCATGTGAAGTCCCACGCCCATCCCTCCATCTTCTCCATCTCCTGTCAAGACTTGGATCCCCCCAAGACTCAGTTGGATCCCCTGATTGCCAGTCTTCTCTTCCAGAGAATCCCATAAATGTATCACTAGATGTCGGTTCTGCACAAACAGCTTGTACTTCCTTTACCCTAGTCCAATCCACAGTGTCATCCCCACTTTCCCCACTCTGTGACCCATCATCCCCAGAGAAACCCTCAAATGATTCCTCTTCTGTAGATTCTGCAAGTGCTGTCGCTCCTCATCTGATTCCTGCTCCCGAATAACCCTCTTCGTTCCCCTATTCCCATCCATTGTATCTCCTTCCTCTCCTTTATTCATTGACCCTTTGTCACATGGAAATATGTGTGTGATCTATGATTAAAAGCAGAAGAAAAAAACTTTAAATACTTTTACAGTGTTTTATATGTGTATATCCCTTGATGGGTCACTATGGGTAAATATGTGTTTGGCATCTAATTGTTGCCAGTCCGTTCTCTACCCTGAGTCACCTTCAGGCTGAAAAGGATGGGATAAAAGTATGATAAATTTCTCCCATAAGTTTTTGTTCCCAAAATAATTTTGTAATCTAGAAGTGTAGTTTTGAATTGCCTGGACATGCTCAGGACAGCTCAGCATATGTTTGGGTCATAGGTTAAGGAGATTATGTCCTTTGGTGTGCCTGCCCAGCTTGGGATTTGCACAGGTGGATAGTCAGATCAATAGACTAACCCCCAACCAAGGTGCTCTGACTACCCATTGCAAACATTTATCTTCCTCTTGTGACTGTTTTGGTCCCAGAAAACATCTCAACATTCAGGACGTTGAAAGTGGTAGATGGGGACTTGGCTACAAAACCAATCAAATGACCTACTTATTGACACCTTCCTTCAATTGAGGGATCGGTTGGAGGAGATTTAATTGTTTTATCTTGAGAAAATATGTTCTCACTGTTAGGAGATCACTACACTGAATACCTTGCTTGGTTTCCATAGTTCTTGCCACATGCCGAGGATCGGATACTCATTACCGGGGCAGCTGATTTCAAGGTGCATGTCCATGACTTGACTGTGAAAGAAACCATCCATATGTTTGGTGATCACAAGAACAGGGTCAAGCGCATTGCCACGGCCCCCATGTGGCCTAACACCTTCTGGAGTGCAGCAGAGGATGGGCTCATCAGGTAGGAAGATTATGTGTGTCTTCTGATTGAATAATGTCTATACCAGTGGTTCTCAGTCTGTGGCCCCCAGATGTTTGGCCTTCAACTCCCAGAAATCCTAACAGCTGGTAAACTGGCTGGGATTTCTGGGAGTTGTAGGCCAAAACACCTGAGGACCCACAAGCTGAAAACCATTGCTCTATATAGTAAGTCCTCCAGTATCCATGGGGGATATGTTCCCAGCCAAAATGTTTAGTTCTATCTGTCAGAAATATAAAAAATTAAGTGGGTATTTTTATTACAAAAGTGTGAGTCAAGCACTGAAAGAGTGAGTAGGCCGAAGCCTGTTAGAATCAGTGGGCCAAGCCAGTGTCATCCTGAGGATAGTGAGTAGGCCAAAGCCCTGTTAGAGTTAGTGGACCAAAGCTAGTGTCCTGAGGAGTGTGAGGTAAACCTTTGTATGAGAGAAGCTTCATGTGAGAAAGCTCCAGTGTGAAGGTTGCTGTGTGTAAACCTACTGTGTATTTGTTTATTTGTGTTATGGAAACCTTGTTGTAAATAAATTTCCGAACGCATCTCCCACTACGTCCCGCCTTGCAGTTTAAGATCATCTGGGGAGACCCTGCTCTTGCTCCCACCAGCGTCGCAAATACGTCTGGCGGGGATGAAAGACAGGGCCTTCTCGGCTGTAGCCCCTTGCCTGTGGAACTCGCTTCCCAACGAGGTAAGATCAGCTCTGTCCCTCCTGTCTTTTAGGAAGAAATTGAAGTTGTGGTTCTGGGACCAGGTTTTTGAACAGCAGGCATAAATAGCCCTTTGGATATGGAATTTGACTGGAATGGTGATACGGTGGTTAATACTGTTTTATTGTTTTAATGTTCTATTGTTTTAATTGTTGTTATATTGCTTTGTTATGGCATCAAATTGTGCCAAATGTAAGCCATCCTGAGTCCCCCTTCAGGGGTTGAGAAGGATGGGGTAGAAATGCTGGAAATAAATAAATAGTGCCACCATATTATTTTACTACAAAGAAAAACCTATGGAAGAGAAAACATTGGTCTGTGTGTTTTTGTTCTTTTTATCACTTTGGGATACTGGTGCTGGGTCTTTTGTTAAGCCCACTCACGAAATGAAGGTTATGGGCCAAGTATAAACAGTATAGCCCAGTACAGACCATTGCGAGGCTGAAGAAATATGGCAATGGCATTTCAAGCATCCCCCCAGGTTGAGAACCACTGCTCTATACAGTAGGTCCTCCAGTATCCATGGGAAATATGCTCCCAGCCAAAATGTTTAGTTGTTTCCACATCATATCACATTATTTCTAGTCCCATCATACCATAGCATTGTGTTGGAGAACCTTATCAGGTCCTAGAGGGGTATCTTCTCTAGGAATATTTTCAGTCCTCCGGCACAACTTTATAGTCACTTCCAAGGAGTTATATCAGAATCACCTAGAGGACCTAGCAATTTCATAGGGAGAACATTTCCCCCCTGCTCCATGAGACTGCAGGTTTAAGCTCCATGGGCATGCAAATCTTATTGTATGTCTTTCTGTAGATAACCAGTTGTCAGATCCACTGAATCCAGTTGCCTGCTGTGACTGGCACCAACTCTCCAAGGTTTTAGGCAGAAATCTTGCCAAGGCGTTGTGGACAATCCACATTCTTTTTATCTAGAGATGCCAAAAAACTAAATCACTTATTTTGTGCATACAAAGCATATACGCTGCCATAGAGCTTTGGCTGTATTCAAACTTCTTACCAAAATGAGTCTGTGAACCAATCATTATATTTGAAATAAATAGGTCAATGAAGTATGGTATCTTGGCTTCCATATTTTCTATGATGGTCTAGAGCAGTGGTTCTGAAACAATGTTCCACTAGACCTTAAGGCAGTGGTTCTCAACCTTTCTAAGGCCATGACCTTTTAATACAGTTCCTCAGGTTGGGGTGACCCCAAACCATAAAATTATTTTCGTTCCTACTTCATAACTTAATTTTGCTACTGTTCTGAATCGTAATGTAAATATCTGATATGCAGGATGAATTTTCATTCACTGGACCAAATTTGGCACAAATACCTGATACGCCCAAATTTGAATATTGGTGGGGTTTGGGGAGGGGGATTGATTTTGTCATTTGGGAATTGCTGAGATTTATAGTTCACCTACAATCAAAGGGCATTCTGAACTCCTCCAACGATGAAGCTGAACCAAACTTGGCACACACAACTCCCATGACCAACAGAAAATATTGGAAGGGTTTGGTGGACATTGACCTTGAGTTTTGGAGTTGTAGTTCACCTACTGTGGTCTCAAACAATGATTGATCTGTACCAAATTTGGCATAAATTCTCAATATGCCCAAATATGAACACTGGTGGATTTTGGTGAAAATAGACTTGAGATTAGAAAAATTACAATTATGAAGTAGTAACAAAAATAATTTAATGCTTGGGGTCACAACAACGGAAACTGTATTAAGGGGTTGAGGCATTAGGGTAGTTGAGAACTAGTGATCTTGGGCTTTAAAGGTCATAACCAGCACTTTGAACTGTTAGTTTCTTCTGTCCTGTGGATGCTTGCTGATATTTTGAATTCCTCCCTCCCTTTTCAGACAGTATGACCTGCGAGAGAACAGCAAGCATTCAGAAGTTCTTATTGATCTGACCGAATACTGTGGGCAGCTTGTGGAGGCAAAATGCCTCACTGTCAACCCCCAGGACAACAATTACCTTGCTGTGGGAGCCAGTGGGCCGTTTGTACGAATCTATGATATACGCATGATTCACAACCACAGGTAATAAGGTCTGGTGCTGGTACCTACTGTCTCTGTTTTTCCTCACTGACTACCCTTGTTCCCTTCTCTCATGAAAATGGATCCAGTCTCCATTTCAAAGCCTCCAAAGAAAGAGTGTCGTAGAAATTCCTTCTTTTAAACAGAATCTGGATGGCCATCTGATGGGGGTACTTTGAATGTGCTTTCCCTACATGGCAGGAGGTTGGAGTGGATGATCTCTTCCAACTCGCTGTTCTATGATTCTATGGTTCCTGCCCCTCGAAAGGAGGCAGTGAAGAAACCAAGGTCTGATCTGTTGACCAAAGACAACTGTCACTTGGTGTCCAGATGTCCACTTTTGAGTAGAGGGCTTGGGTGGGATCTCAAATCCAAGTATGGGAGAACAGACAGTTATTGTGACAGTTGGAATGGAGGGCCAGACTGAAGCCTTCTTATTTCTCCTGGATATTTTCTTGCTGTTAAACCTGAGGAGGAGGCACAGTATTGCAATGGCTCTGCCCTTCCTAACCCTTCCCAAAATGGCGATGCCAGTAGGCAGTGTTATTGATGTGGGTGGCTGTTATTCCGCATGTTGACCTTTATCATAAATGGAATTTCATGCTTTTGGCAGGGCAGGTTTTTTTTTTTCTTTTTTAGAAAGTGCCACCTAATTTGATGGAAATTCATATTTAATTTAAATATTCAATAAAACTTAACCAAACACTTTGATCTTGTTCCCTGTGTTTCTTAACATCTTCATGAACCCTATGGAGAATATCACAGAGAGGCCTGCACTGTGATTATGGCAACAACATTTGGCATTATGCTAAATGTTCTTTGAACAGTAGCTGGCCACTTGGAGTGCCTCTGGTGTTGCTGTGAGGAGGTCCTCCACTGTGTATTATTTATTGATTTATTTACTGTTTTTGTATACTGCCTTTCTCAGCCCGTAGGCAACTCAAGGCAGTTAACAGGGCAAAATTCAATTCTTACAATGTCATAAATACAATTAAAAACATAACATATAATAAAAACTAAAGAAATCAATAAAATATAAATTCATAGCATCTCCTTGTTAAAAAACGTCCGGATTCATTGTCTAGTCGTTCTGTTTTACTGTGTCAGTTACTCTGCATTTGCAAACGCTTTGTCAAAAAGCCACGTCTTGACTTTTTTCCGGAATGTTAAAAGGGAGGTGGCCTAACTAATCTGGACTAATAGGGAGGGCGTTCCTATTAGTCCAGAACTAATAGGGAGGGCGTTCCACAGCCGAGGGGCCACCACCGAGAAGGCCCTGTCTCTCGTCTCCGCCAAACGTACTTGTGACAAAGGAGGCAGGGCCTCCCCAGACGATCTTAAGGTCCTAGATGGTTCATAAGGGGAGAAACGTTCGGATATCTAAGTTGGGCCAGAACCGTTTAGGGCTTTATAGGCTAAAGCCAGCATTTTGAATGGTGCTGGGTAGCAAACTGGCAGCCAGTGGAGCTGGCGTAACAGGAGGTTGTACGTTCCCTGAGCACTACTCCTGTAGCAATCTGGCTGCCGTTCGTTGGACCATTTGAAGCTTCCAGACAGTCTTCAAAGGCAACCCCACATAGAGCACATTGCAGTAGTCTATACAGGATGTAACAGAGTGTGGACTACCATGGCCAATACCAGCTAAACAGTATAATTTCTCTAGTGATGTGGGGCTTAGACATCCTGTGATGATACGGCATGTCTCATTAAGAGACACATCCACTGTTTTGAGGTCCCAAAATCATAGTTATCATGTGCGAAATGGGAAGTCTGGTATATTATTCTTCCAGATAAGCCAGAATCATAATACAATAACAAATCCATGATTTGCGTCTCTGGCTCAAGGAATATTCCATAAATTGGCATGTTCCCAAAGTGGTTTTGGTGTATTGCCTATTAAATTTGAAATGAATCCAGCTGTTCTTTTTTCTTTTAAAAGGTGTCTAATGTACTCCACCAAAATATGAAACATACACATAAAATCCTCTTTCTTTTTGCTAGGAAAACAATGAAGCAGAATCCTACAGCTGGAGTCCATACGTTCTGTGATCGTCAGAAGCCTCTCCCTGATGGTGCAGCTCAGTACTATGTAGCAGGTATGGCTGGCTGTGATGGCGAGGAGAATTTTGGAAGCTTCCTTCATACCTTTTTGGAAGGATTTATGTATTGAATGGACATTAAGATGGGAGGGGCCTGCCCATGTAAGTAACTAGGACTGGGTGTCTTAAGCATATGCCTTATCTATTATGGGTTGTATGTGGAGTTTAAATTGATGAACCCTTTTCCACACAACTAATGGAAATACATAAAAAATAAATACTGCACCCTAACTCTCCCAGATCCCTTATCATTTTGGAATCTAAGCAGGGTCAGCTCTGGTTAGTACTAGGATGGGAGACCATCGATGATGATGATGATGATTATTATTATTATTATTTAGAATTTTTATTCCCCGGTCTTCTCAACCTCCGAGGAGGGACTCAGGCCAGCTAACAACACAAGATTCAATACAACAAGAAAACATTATAAATCATCAATATAAAAACATGAAAATACAATTATACAGTTCATACAGGTTAAAGCAAAAATCAGTTCATCCAAAAGAATCACAAATTCATCGCCATCCGCCAGCCAGGTCAACAGTCATTGACTCAGTCATCACTCTACAAATGCAGTATCCCAAAGCCATGTTTTTACCAGCTTTCTAAACGTCAGGAGGGAGGAGGCAGATCTAATCTCCATCGGGAGGGAGTTCCAAAGCCATGGGGCCACCACCGAAAAGGCCCTGTCCCTCGTCCCCACCAAACGCGATTGCGAAAGCGGTGGGACCGAGAGCAGGGCCCCTCCAGAAGATCTTAACAACCTTGATGGTTCATAGGGGAGAATCCGTTCGGACAGGTAAATAGGGCCAGAGCCGTTTAGGGATTTATAGGTCAACACCAGCACTTTGAATTGTGCTCAGAAGCTGATTGGCAGCCAGTGGAGCTGGCGCAACAGAGGAGTAGTATGCTCCCTGTACCCCACTCCCGTTAGTAATCTGGCTGCCGCTCATTGTTCTAGTTGTAGCTTCCAGGCAGTCTTCAGAGGCAACCCCACATAGAGATTCCCAGGTGCTGAAGACTATATCTCAAAAAGAAAGAAGTAGGAAAATCCTCTCTTAAATATTCCTGGCCTAAGAAAACCCTAGGAAATTTGTGGGATTGTCATAAATCAACAAAAAGCATGCGCACAATGGAAGCCATAGAGACTGCTTTAAAAGAGCATTGTATGTTGTTGTCAGTGGTTGGCTGCGATAGTTCCCAAGCTGTACAAATGAAAGTTTCCTTCCTCTTCTTGCAGGACATCTTCCGGTGAAATTACCAGACTACAACAACCGGTTGAGAGTCCTGGTCGCTACGTATGTCACCTTCAGCCCTGATGGCACAGAGCTCTTGGTGAACATGGGAGGGGAGCAGGTAAGAAAGAGACTTTTGAAATTAGTCAGTGTGAAATAATAAGGGGTTTCTCCTTCTCCCTCTAGTCTTTCATTGCTTTGAGCATCCTAAACTGGGTCTGAGGTATCACTGAAATATCAAAGAAATAAAATTTCAGAGGGATCAGTGCCATCGTCACTGGAACGGCCCTAACTCCCTCTACAAAGTGAAAAACATACCAAAATACTGGGTAATGTGAATTCCATCCTTTCCATAACTAGGCCCCAAAATTTGTTCCAAACACCACAATTCTTTTGGCAAGTACCATAAACTCAGAACTTCACATCTTTTCCAAAAACCTAGTGAATCAACTCAAAATGCAAACTGTAATACTTTATGTGAAATTATTTGTAGCAGAGTTTGAACGCCCGAGAGGAAAGAGTTCAGCTTGAAACAAGGAGCTCATACCAAACCATAGTACCATGTATTTGGAGGCTTCCCTTCTTTCCTTGCATTTGGTGCTTCCCTCCCAGAGGCCATGGATTAAGGTTTACTGGAGGACCAAAGGTTGTGACCAACCTTTGGTCCTCCAGGTGTTTTGGACCTCAGCTCCCAGAATCCCTGACATTGGACAGGCTGACCAGAGCTTCTGGGAGTTGGTGGCCCAAACAACTGGATGACCAAAGGCTGGACACTACTGCTGTAAAGGTTTTCAATTGAATGTGCAAGTTGTTTTCATTGAAAAGCATTGTAACTGAGGCTATGTCCGACGACTGATCTTGTAGGAGTCAGTTTCACATAGGCCCATGATTATTTGATGAAGCCATCTTTAATTTCCTGGTTAGGGACAGTCCCTCAGTCAGTCCCCAGAGGGCTCAGTCTGAAAAGAAGAAGCACTACAGGTGAAATTCAGCAGTTTTATTTCCAGATCTCTTTGGGCTTGACCCTAATAGTTGTAGGAACCTGATGTGAAGGTTTTCAACCTCTTGACTGAAACCAGAGGCTCAGAAGGTGTTGCTGAATCCTTCTTCTTTCCCAGCATTCTCTGAGCTTAGATAAACGTCTTTTAGTATGAGGAAGGTGCAGGTGTATGAAAGTAGCGTGACCAATAAAACTAAGAATTGACACGGGACTATTGGTGTGTTCCTTGTGCATTTATTTGGTAGGGAGTTTTAACAGCAGGCCCATTGCCAGAGGGCTTACCTTAGAAGCACAGTCATTTTTCCACATTTTGTAGAGATTATTCGTGAATTTGATTCATAAGGTCTTTTTAGGATTTCTAGGTCCTCCAGTGTGACTCTGTAGCCTGGCGTCTCACTAGAGGACCTAGAGATTTTTTCCCTTATTCTGTTCGCTAATATTTTTGTAAAGATCTTATAGTCCACATTACTGAAGGAGATAGGTCTATATGCATTAGGATCTGTCTCGTCTTTAGTTGGTTTTGGAATTGTTATTATCTCAGAATACTTCCAGGAGTCTGGAACTTTACCTCCTTGCATGATTTCGTTGAAGAGTATGACCAAATTCGGAGTAATTTCCCCTTTAAAATTTTTGTAAAAATTTGTGGTAAGGCCGTCTGGTCCGGGGGCTGAGTTCACTTTTAGACTGTCTATTACATTTTCAATTTCTGAATTTGGTATTGTATTATTTAATTCTATTTGTGAGTGATAGTCTATGTTTTCCTGTAAATATACTTCTTGTTCTATTGTATCTTTATCATCGTAAAGTTTCTCATAAAAACTTGCCATAATTTCTCTAATTTCATTATCTATTGATTTCAATTGACCCCTGTAATCTTTTAATTTCAGTATTCTCCTTCTAGCCTGTTTTTTTTTAGGAACCTGGCCAAACTTTTTGAGTTATTGATGGAGTTGATTTGGTAATCATTTTTGATCCACAGATGTTTTTTGGTGGCGTCAATTTTTTCTAAGTTCTCAAAATATTAGGTTCTTGTGGGTTTTTTCGGGCTATAGAGCCATGTTCTAGAGGCATTTCTCCTGACGTTTCGCCTGCATCTATGGCAAGCATCCTCAGAGGTTGAGAAGGTTCAGACCTTCTCAACCTCTGAGGATGCTTGCCATAGATGCAGGCGAAACGTCAGGAGAAATGCCTCTAGAACATGGCTCTATAGCCCGAAAAAACCCACAAGAACCTAGTGATTCCAGCCATGAAAGCCTTCGACAATATCTCAAAATATTGTTTTTTCTCTATCCATCTTGTCTTATTTTCGGCTGTTGGGTGATTTTGAAATTGTTGGAGGAAGTTCTCTACCTCTCCTCTAGTTTTTTCAAGAGTAGATTTTTCTTTCTTATTGATACATGTACCCCTAAGAGTAGCTTTAAAAGCATCCCATATTAACTCTTCTTTTAATTCTGGTTGTCTGTTTATTAGAAAAAAATATTTTATCTGTTTTGTAATATCTTGTTTGTCCTTCTCTTTGAAAGTTACCTTTGGGTTAAATCTCCATTTCTTTGCGAGTCTCCTTACAGATTCACCCAATTTAAGCAAAATCGGAGCATGATCTCCTGGCCATTGTTTCCCAACTTTTATCTCTTTAATTTCTCTAGAGTTATTAATTCCAACTATGAAGTAATCTATAGTTGTGAATTTGGAGTGTCTGTGTGAGTAGAAAGTTGGTGCTGTTGCTGAATCCCTCTTCTTTCCCACCATTCTCTGAGCTTAGATAAACGTCTTTTAGTATGAGGAAGGTGCAGGTGTATGAAAGTAGCATGACCAATAAAACTAAGAATTGACACAGGGCTATTGGTGTGTACCTTGTGCATTTATTTGGTAGGGAGTTTTAACAGCAGGCCCATTGCCAGAGGGCTTACCTTAGAAGCACAGTCATTTTTCCACATTTTGCAGAGATTATTTGTGAATTTGATTCATGAGGTCTTTTTAGGATTTCTAGGTCCTCCAGTGTGACTCTGTAGCCTGACATCTCACTAGAGCAGCGTTTCTCAACCTGGGGATCGCCAAAGTGCATTAGAAAACATATATTTCTGATGGTCTTGAGAATCCCTTTGGCAGAGAAGGCTGAAGAGCTCTCCGCCTGTCCTTCTCTTCCTTTTTGGAAATAGACGGTGAATCCTCCCACCAAGAGCCCTCCTCTGCTGTGATTGGTCAGTTTCTCAGCCAAGTGGAGGACTATTTTTGAGACTCCAAGCAGGGAGGGGAGAGCAGGCGTGCTTGGTGCGCATAGGCAGGCGAAGGAGTGCATGCAAGGCTGGAGAGAGGCCTGTGCCAGCGAGTCCCTTCCAGGCATGAAGGTTCTGTGAGGGAAGTTTGGCCCAATTCTATTGTTGGTGGAGTTCAGAATGCTCTTTGATTGTAGGTGAACTATAAATCCCAGCAACTGCAACTCCCAAATGGCAAGGTCTATTTTCCCCAAACTCCACCAGCACATTTGGACATATTGAGTATTCGTACCAAGTTTGGTCCAGATCCATCATTGTTTGAGTTTATAGTGCTCTTTGGTTGTAGGTGAACTACAACTCCAAAACCCAAGGTCAATGCCCACCAAACCCTTCCAGTGTTTTCTGTTGGTCATGGGAGTTTTGTGCGCCAAGTTTGGTTCCATTCCATCGTTAGTGAAGTTCAGAATGCTCTTTGATTGTAGGTAAACTATAAATCTCAGAAACTAAATCTCTCAAATGACAAAACCTTCCTAATGTCACAACCCCTTAATGCACTTCCTCCTGTTGTGTTGACCCCCAACCATAAAAATTATTTTCGTTGCTACTTCATAACTGTCATATTGCTATTGTTATGAATCATAATGTAAATATCTGATATGTAGGACATATTTTCATTCACTGGATCAAATTTGGCACAATTACACGATAAGCCCAAATCTGAATACTGGTGGGGTTGGGGGGAGGGGTGGCAATTGATTTTGTCATTTTGGAGTTGTAGTTGCAGGGATTTCTAGTCAAACTACAAAGAGCATTCTGGACTCCACCAACGATGGAATTGAACTACATTTGGCACAAAGAACTCCCATGACCAACAGAAAATACTGGAAGGGTTTGGTTGGCATTGACCTTGGGTTTTGGAGTTGTAGTTCACCTACATCCAGACAGCACTGTGTGCGGACTCAAATAATGATGGAACTTGGCACGAATACTCAATATGCCGAAATGTGAACACTAGTAGAATTTGAGGAAAATAGACTTGGCATTTGGGAATTGTAGTTGCTGGGATTTATAGTTCACCTATAATCGAAGAGAATTCTCAACCCCAACAATGATAGAATTGGGCCAAACTTCCCACACAGAATCCCCATGACCAACAGAAAATACTGTTTTTTCTGATGGGCTTCGGTGACCTCTCTGACAATCCCTTTCAACTTCCCCAGGGGTCCCGGCCCCCAGGATGAGAAACACTGACTTAGAGAATATGGGGAATCCCAATCCCAATTTACACCAACAGATGCTCCTGTGATGATGCTTTTTCCTTATTTCTACCTGCGTAACCTGTAGCTTCATTGTTTGTCTTCATCTGGTGCCTAGGTTTACTTGTTTGACCTGACTTATAAGCAGCGGCCATACACTTTTCTTCTGCCAAAGAAATGCCACTCTTCAGGAGGTAGGTGCCTGCATTATATTTGACCTCCATGACATAATAATAACGTGGTTATTTTTGAATTGTCAGATCACTTTCTAGTCCTCATGATAGCTTCCAGATTCCACAGAGTTACGGTTATTTCTTGCTGTCCACATTCAGAAGAAGATCTACAAGCCACTCTAAACACCTTCACAGAAGCATACGAGAAGTTCGGCCTGTCATTGAACATCGAGAAAACCAAAGTGCTGTTCCAGCAGTCACCAGCCAACCCCTCTCCAATGCTAGTGATACAGCTTAATGGTGTAACATTAGAAAACGTTGACCATTTCTGCTACTTGGCCAGCCACCTCTCCACCAAAGTCAACATCGACACCGAAAAACAACACCGCCTGAGCTCTGCGAGTGCAGCATTTTTCCGAAGGAAGCAGAGAGTGTTTGAGGACCGGGACATCCGTAGGGATATCAAGGTGTTTGTTTATAAAGCTATTGTCCTCCCAACACTGCTATATGCCTGCGAAACGTGGACTGTTGACAGACGTCACATGAAACTCCTGGAAAGATTCCATCAGCGCTGCCTCCGGAAAATCCTGGAAATCTCTTGGGAAGACAAGCGGACAAATGTCAGCGTGCTGGAAGAAGCAAAGACCACCAGCATTGAAGTGATGGTCCTCCGCCACCAACTCCGCTGGACCGGCCAGCGGATGCCCAACCACTGTCTCCCAAAGCAGTTGCTCTACTTCGAACTCAGGAACGGAAAACGGAATGTTGGTGGACAGGAAAAGAGATTTAAAGATGGGCTCAAAGCCAACCTTAAAAACTCTGGCATAGACACTGAGAACTGGGAAGCACTGGCTCTTGAGCGGTCCAGCCGGAGGTCAGCTGTGACCAACAGTGCTGTAGAATTTGAAGAGGCACGAATGGAGGGCGAAAGAGAGAAACGTGCCAAGAGGAAGGCACGTCAAGCCAACCCCGACCGAGACCGCCTTCCAACTGGAAACCAATGCCCTCACTGCAGGAGAAGATGCAGGTCAAGAATAGGGCTCCATAGTCACCTACGGACCCACCAGAATACTGCTCCTGGAAGACTATCCTACTCGTCCAACGAGGGATCGCCTAAGTAAGTACTGGGACCGTTGCTCAAAAACGTAGAAAGAGGCAGCCCAGTCCTAGCCGATGTGCATGGTTCTTGCTTCTGTATTTTTGCTGCTTCCCTATAAACCTGGTACATTCTATTCCATATTCATCCAATGAGTTTTTAAAAACTCCTTGCATAAAGGAGTCACACAAGGATGGTAAAACATCAAAACATCCGGGCGTCCCCTGGGCAACGTCCTTGCAGACGGCCAATTCTCTCACACTGGAAGCAACTTGCAGTTTCTCAAGTTGTTCCTGAGACACACACGCACAAAACTTCAACCACATTTGAGATGATAAATGCATTTTGTTGACATCAGAGTAAATAAAGTGTTAAATAAATGAGGGTAAATATATTGTATGCTGTAATTTGGTCTAAAACTAAAAACCCCAGAATGGCAAAGGATCGTGCAACAGGGTTTGGTCATAAAAGTATACAATGTCCAAAGTCCGTTTGCAGAGCAATAAAGACAGGTGTTTATAAAGGACCTAAATAGAATTGCTTCAAAGGGGAAAGGGCTGAGAGGACTACGTGAGGCAAAACCTTGTGGTTCTGAATAAAGACAGTTAACTATTGTTGCAAGGCCTCTTCTTCCTGTATTGCTTTCTCAATTTGCCAACAATCTTTCTTTCTGCACACTGCTTTTGACTTGTAATGCAATTTTCTGTATTCAATGGGAGAATGGAATCCTGAAGTGTAATGCTGAGGTGCGTTGTGACCAAACAAATCTAAACTAATTCAGTAGTAATTTTATTTACCCTTTGAAAGCATTGTCAGGGAATTTTTCAGGACACTCGCCGAACTGTAATTCTTAGAATTATGCGGGAGATGCTATGTCACCTGCATTGCTGCAGGAAGTTAGTAATAGGTCGTTTAATGTGGGATGCATTTGTGAACCCACCTTCTTTCATATAATGCCCCTCAGATTAGCTAAACTATGAAATCTGTATTGCGATTCCTATTAGATCAGTGGTTCTCAACCGGTGGGTCCCCAGATGTTTTGGCCTTCGTGTGCCGTCCGCCCAGACGATATAAAAAATAAAACTGTGACGTGCTTCTCTCTATGCCTGAGCGAACTGCAGGTGTCTATATTGAGAAGCTTGAGATACTCAGCAACTGAGTCTATTACTGGTTTTAAACATCAAAAAAGGATATTTATTTATTCAAAGTCCTTGAAAACTTCGCACAGTTCATCAAAGTTGCAAACAAACAGTCAATAGATGAAACTACAAAAATTTTCTTTCTTTTCTTTAGTTACAGAGGTAACCCTTTTCTCCAAATGGCAGATAAGATCCTGGAATCTTTACACCCTAACCTTAAGCTGTTGTGGTTTAGAAAAAAGCAGGTTTTTCCCTATCTATAACTTAAGGTTAGTTCTGGAGACAAAGCAGTCAGGACTCTCTCTCTATAACTATATAACTCAATCTTCTCAATTAAGCTTATCTATCTATAATATCTCAATACAGCTCAATACACAATATACTATCTATATTAACTCAATATAGATTAATACTTATCTATAATGTATAGTTTTTGCACTGGTTTTCCCAGAGCTAGCTGCCTAGCCATCAGCACGTCTGAAGTCTTTCCTCAAACTGAAACGGCAGGGGAGAATCTAAAATGGGGATCTTTCCCTGGGAGAAAAGGCAGTCCCTAAACTCAAAGAGCTGCTCTCTAAGCCAATAGTTGCAAAGAGGCCTGCAGACTGTGATACTATTAACTTTTAAGACTCTTGCAAAGCTGCAGCAGCCCTGGGAGAAAATGCAAGAGGAAGCAACCTCAAGCAACTATAAAGTAAGGCAAATCAGGCTCCTGGGAGACGGAACACTTCGACTCCCAGAAATCCTAACAGCTGGTAAACTGGCTGGGATTTCTGGGAGTTATAGGCCAAAACACCTGGGGACCCACAGGTTGAGAACCACTGTATTAGATCATATCTAAGCCAATCATAGTGGTTTTAGGGTTGTCTCCCTACAGTTCTGGTACTTTCATTTTCAGCCAGGTTCAAGTCTGTGATTACCTTCCGAAAATTATCCACTCAGAAGATTGCTCTTCGTTAGTTATTTATGTATTTTACTAGCTGTACCCGCCACGCATTGCTGTGGCCAACCTTCCCTCTTTCTCTCCTCCCTTCCCTCTTTTTCTTTCCCTATTTCTCTTCTTTCTGTTTCTTTCCTCCCTTTCTTTGCTCTTTGGTTACAATTTCCTTCTCTCCTTCCTTCCTTTCCTATCTTTCGTTCCTTCTCTCCTTTCTTCTCTCTCTTTTTCCTTTCACTTTTTTTATTTCCTTCTCTCCTTCCTTGCTTCTCTGCCTTTTTTCTTTCTTTCCTTCCTTCTCCCCCCCCCCCCTCTCCTTCCTTCCTTGCCCCTTTCCCTCCTTCTCTCGTTACTTCTTGACTGTCCATTTAATATTGTATTTATATCTTACGTAGAAAGAAGGAAAGGAAGAAGGAAGGAAGGAGGGACAGGAAGGAAGGGAAAAGAAAGGGGGAGGGAAGGAGGGAAAGAAGGGAAGGAAGGAAAGAAAGAAGGAGGGACAGGAAGGAAGGAAGGAAGGAAGGAAGAAGGAAGGAAGGAAGGAGGAAGGGAGAAGAAGAAGAAGAAAGGAAGGGGGGGATGAAGAAAGGAGGGAGGGAAGGAAATGAAGGGGAAGAAAATAAAGAAAGGGAAAGAAGGAGGAAAGGAAGGGAGGGAGGAAAAGAAGGAAGGACAGGAAGGAAGGAAAGAAGGAAAGGAAGGAGAAGGAAGGAAGAAAAGGAAAGAAAGGGAGGAAGGGAGGAGAGGGAGGAAAGAAGGGAAGGGAGTGAGGGAGAGAAGGAAGGTCCTTCACTCAAGCAGCGTCACCCTTCCTCGCCTCCTTCTCCTCCTCCTCCTCCTCCCCTTCTTCCTTGCCTGGGGGCTCCGCTGCTGCTGCTGCCACTCATCCGCCCCATCCTCTTCCAACAGGGAGAGGAGGAGGAGGAGACTGCCCTCCTGACATAGCAGGGAAAGAGAAGGGGCTCCATGTGGCAAGCCTCCACCTCCACTCCCATGGTGCCCACTCTCGTGTGTGTGTGTGTGTGGCCAAGCACACAAGCCTGGCTCCTAATGGTTTAACGGCCGGCTGTTTCCCTGCGAGGAAGAGGGGGCGTGGCCATGGGTCTCTTTCTGGGTATGCAGTTTCTCCTTTGTGGACATGTAGTTCAGAAGTCCTTTCTGCTTTTTGTTTTTGTTGTTTTTTTGAGTGAAGGACATACATTGAGTTGATAGGTGTCTTGTGTCCAAATTTTATGTCAATTTCCCCAGTGGTTTTTGAGTTCTGTTAATCCCACAAACAAACATTACATTTTTATTTATATAGATGTATATCCATAACTGTATACATATTAAATGTTAAAATATGTATATATGTGTATGGCTGGGGTGCCCACTTGAACAAGACAGGCTCCCGCTTTCACAAACAGCTTTAATCCACAGTGCTGAGGATCCAACAAAAGTCCTCCACCTAATGACATTTTCATTTTATAGCGAGTACCATGAACATGTACCTAACCCCTGCCAATGTCCGCCCCAGACACCATACTGCCTACCACCCAAGGAATGCTTTCATTTCGTCCTAGATTTTATGTGTTTTCTCCACCACAGACACCCCAGTGTTTTTGACTCTCTCCATTGGTGTGGAATTTGCATGATCCCACCCACTGCCTCTCCCTTAAACCTTCCCTACTCTTTTCAACTCTGTCTGCACAACAAACAGAGCAGAATTAATCAGCACCAAAACATACTGGAGGACTTTGGGGGATTGACTCCACATGATGGAAGTTGTAGTTCACCCCGCATCAAGGCAGAGCACTTGAGTGTCACCCCCACTGACAATAGACCTAGACCACTTTTGGCACACAGAACCACAGAAGGTTTGGGGAGAATTCACCTTGATTTATAGCTGTTGTAGGTACTGGGATTTATAGTTCATCTGCAATCAAACAGCACTCTGGACCCCGCCAACAATTGCCCTGAACCTCACTTGACACACAGAACCCCCATGACCAACAAAAAATACAGGAGGGCTTTGGGGAAAATTCACCCTTGATTTATAGAAATTATAGTTCACCTTCATCCAGAGAGCACTGTGAATGCAAATGGTGGATCTGTACCACATTTGGCACATATACCCGATATGCCAAAATATGAATACTGGTGGGTTTGGGGGGGGGGGGGGGGGGCCTTGACATTTGTTAGTTGAGGTACTGGGATTTATAGTTCGCCTGCACTCAAAGAGTACTCTGCACCCCACCAGTGATGGTCCTGGACCTAACTTGGCATACAGAACCCTAATGACCTAATGACCAACTGAATGTACTGGAGGGATTTGATGGGACTAACCCACCATGGTGGGAGTTGTAATTCATCCTGCAGCTGGAGAACATACTGAACTCCACTGATGATGCATCTAGACCAAACTTGCCCAACATTACAAACTTTAAGTATTGATAGAATTTCAGGAGTTTAACCTGGCATGATGTGAGTTGTAGTTCACTCACAACCTTATGCATTTTGTACAATTAAAATTTTACTTCTTCAAAACCCCAGGTAACACCGGGTACCCAAGCTTGTGTGTGTGTATCTCACCTTTTCTCCTGTGAGCGTATGGCAATATGTGTTCCCCTCAACTCATCTCATGGTTTTTGTCCTCATGATGATCTTGGTCGGGCTATAAGAAAGTGACTCACCCAAGGTCAGTACATTTCATGGCTCAGTGAGGACCAGGAATTTGTATCTCGCAAACCCTGTTCCAACATACTAACAAAACACCACACTAACACCTACTAGCCGGATTATGCTACAGTGCTTTCCATTGCCATTGGATGGAGATGTTTGTTTTATGTTCAAACTGGATTGTGTTATATGTTCTCCTGGTTAATGTTTAGTAGATTTTCAAATATGTGCAAAATATGCCCACAGCTGAGAGTAAGGCCTCAGTGAATCTTTGATATCTGTTGGGGTTTGGTTCTAGGACCCCTCATGAATGCTCAAGTCCCATTATATACAATGATGTAGTAAAATTGTTTCCCATAGATAAAAGGGCACAATCAAAGCTTGCTTTTTGGAACTTTTGAAAATACTTCTAAGCTATGGATGCAGAGTCAGAGAGCCATGTACATTCACAAAGGACATTGATGCCTCTCTCTTATAAATTTCAACCATTCCACATGGGGTTGATTTCCAACCAGCTGGAGGGACATGTTTGATTTCCATTGGGCGATTGAGCAGTTCATTAAGATATATTCATAGAGTTGAAAGAGACCCCAAGGGCTATCCAGTCCACCCCCTTCTGTTTGTCAGGAACACATCATCAAAGCAACTCTGTACACAAAAAAGGAACCCTCATGGAAATGGCGTGTGTGTATGTATGTGTGTATTCTTGGTCTCTTTGTGATCTGCATAGTCTTGGTGCAAATGCCCAGGTGTGATGCCCATCTGACTTTGTCAGGTCTTTACAACTTAATCTATACACATGCATGTATAGATTAAGTTGTAGAGACCTGACAAAGTCAGATGGGCATCACACCTGGGCATTTACACCAAGACTATGCAGGTCACAAAGAGACCATGAATACATACACACACACACACATACATAACTGCTGCATAGCTAGGGTTCACTGGTATATGTGGAGTCCAGACAGGGTAAAAAAAATGCCTTTGGATTGCTTCCTTGGTACAGTCCTCTTTCAAAAGTTGTTAACCTCTGATTGCTTCATCCGAAGTAGATGCGATGATTTCGGAAGTCATATAGTCCAAACTGGATAGGGCAACGTTTCTCGGGACCCCTGGGGGGCGGGGCGTGAGGAGTTTTCAGTGGGGTCACCAAAGACCATCAGAAAACATATATTTCTGATAGTCTTAGGAACCCCTTTGGCAGAGAAGGTTGGAGATCTCTCCACCTGTCCTTCTCTTCCTTTTTGGAAATAGCGAATCCTCCCACCAAAAGCTCTCCTCCTGCTGTAATTGGCCAGTCTCTCAGCCAAGGGGAGGACTCAAAGTCGGGGGGGGGGCAGGCATGCTCGGCGCATGGCGGCGTGGTGCATACAAGGAAGCGCATGCAAGGTGGGAGGGAGGCCCGTGCCAGCAAGTCCCTTCAAGGCATAGGGGTTCTGTGTGAGAAATTTGGTCCAATTCTGTCGTTGGTGGGGTTCAGAATGCTCTTTGTTTGTAGGTGAACTATAAATCCCAGCAACTACAACTCCCAAATGGCAAGGTCTATTTTTCCCCAAACTCCACCAGTGTTCACATTTGGGCATATTGAGGATTCACGCCAAGTTTGATCCAGATCCATCATTGTTTGAGTTCACAGTGCTCACTGGATGTAGATGAACTACAACTCCAAAACTCAAGGTCAATGCCCACCAAACCCTTCCAGTATTTTCTCTTGGTCATGGGAATTCTGTGTGCCAAGTTTGGTTCAATTCCATTGTTGAAGTTCAGAATGCTCTTTGATTGTAGGTGAACTATAAATCCCAGCAACTACAACTCCCAAATGTCAAAATCAGTCTCTCCAAACCTACCAGTATTCGAATTTGGGCATATTGGGTATTTGTGCCAAATTTGGTCCAGTGAATGAAAATACATCCTGCATATGAGATATTTACATTATGATTCATAACAGTCGCAAGACTACAGTTATGAAGTAGCAATGAAAATAATTTTATGGTTGGGGGTCACCACAACATGAGGACTTGTATTAAGTAGTCACAGCATTAGGAAGGTTGAGGAATAGTGTATAAACTAATGCTTAGTCATATTCGCCACTGCTTGTCTTCGCTTATAGCATGGCATGTGTCTAGGTACACCAGAAGAGCTATACTTTTCCAGTATGGTGTAATGCAAATGTGATGTTATATAGTGTGAATGAGATAGATCTGCATTTGATGTTGCTCCTCTTGGCTGCCTCCCAGTTTGTTATATCCAAGAAGGCGAGAAGCCAAGGGTGTGCACAGTGTCTGTGAATCCATTTCTGGCTTGAACTTGATTGTCTTTTATGACCCTCAGAGGTGCAGAATGGAAAAACATCGATGAATGGCGTGTCAAATGGCATCCATCTCCACAGCAATGGTTTCAGACTGTCTGAGGGGCGAGCGCATGTGAGGTAAGAGGGCACCTTTGCCTTGCTAAAGGTTTATGCTGTGTGATTCTGTAAGGAAGTTTAAGCATGTAGGTATTTTCAAAGGGATATTTGCATAGCACCCAAGAGCCAGTGCCTTTCTAGGCTTCTTTGATGAGTGAATGTCATTCTGTGAGACTACATCCACCCTGTTTCCAAGTGGCATCTGCCAGTTATTTACTTACAATGACAAATATGATAAAAGATAAAACAGTGGTTCCCAACCTGTGATCCATGTCCCACCAGTGGTCCACAAGAATATGGTCCATGGCCTCACCATTACTACATCCTTGCCTCAGAGCCATGCGGCAACGAGAGTGACTCGTCTCGCAAAACCCTCTTATAGTGCCAAGGCAATGAGGATGTTGGGAGGGGAGAGGCTGACTACCCAGAAAAGATTACTATGACCGCATCAGCTCTAGATGAGTAAATATGGTTTTCTGTTGGCAAGCAGATGGAGACTACTGGATGGCATATGTTCTGGATCAGAAACTAGAGCTGATATGATCTATCCAATGCAGTTTTCTGAATCAGCACCCCAAATAACCAAGCAGAATCTAAAATTGATGAAAAACTGATTTGTAACCCTTTTGGTACTAATGGAGAGTGATCCCTAGTCAAAAAAAGGTTGGGAACCACTGCTATCGAAAGATTATTTACAGTATTTCCCTGTCGTGGTCACTGTGAATTGCACATATGGTTATTTCTGTGCCTGTGCATACCAACTTCGGAACCTTCTAGAAAAATAATAAGACACTTTGACAGTAGCCACACCCACCCTCCCCTCTGAGTATATATAGACCATGAGGCTACAGCCCTCAGTTCTCTTGATCCGCCGCCTCGAGCAGCAGCTAGAGAACCTTTGCTTGCGAGCTTTCCTTTATTTGTTGCTTTTGACTTCGGACTGCTAGGATCTTGTTATTTACAGTATTTATATTATGTCCTCCTCACCCCGAAGGGGACTCAGAGTGGATCACAGAACACATATACGACAAACATTCAATGCCGTTGTACACTGACAGGACAGACACAGTACATAGAGATATTTAGGCTTTTCCCATCTTCGGTGTCTTGGAGGTTGTGCTTGATTCCGGCCACCAGGTGGGTGAGGTTGTGGGGTTGGGTGCTGTCACTCCATCCACCATGCCAAAGAGCCCTCCCTTTGATCGAATCGCTGGCATTTTTCTCATATTTCCTTATGATGCCATTAAAATACTTCCCCACTAAGTGGTATCTATTTATCTACTGTTTTCGATTTGCTAGGTAGGCAGTGAGCTGGGCTGAAGATCGGGCGCTCACCCCCGACCCAGGCTTTGAAGTGCCAAAAATTTGATTGGCTAGATTTATTGCAGCTGGTTGTCAACCTGCTGTGCTAAAGCCCTGAATTAACATCAAAATGGGAACATCTTTCAACATTTAAGAGTCCAAAAAACTTAGATGAAACCAAAGGGAAAAGGTGATACTAGGATGGGGTTTTGGGGTGGTTGAGGTCTATGTTCAGGCTCTTGAGAAATTGATATTTTGTCCCCACATCTCTTGAGAGAACAGAAGGTGACACACATGACTTTTCCCCTTCCTTTCTCTATTACAGAAGTTCTCAACCTGTGGGTCCCCACATGTTTTGACCTTCAACTCCCAGAAATCCTAACAGCTGGTAAACTGGCTGGGATCTCAGGGAGTTGTAAGCCAAAATACCTGGGGACTCACAGGTTGAGAGCCACTGCTCTATTATAAGTGAACATTGGATGGAATATTGACCATCCAGTCCATTTCTGACTCCTACTTTTTCCTTTATGACCAACTACTGGGCATCATAAGAGCCTCCTCTTCCTCCTGTAACTTGTGTCATGCCTACTTGTGTCATGCCTTTTGGTGTATGTGGATTTTAATTTGGAAAATCTACCTGAAAAGCAAAATAAAAAATGTAATAAGTGTGTTACAAGGAGTGAGGAAGAAAGCAGGGTTCTGCAGCTGAGGCCAGTTTCACTTCATTCCAGCTTTCCTTGTTTCTTTAGCCCACAAGTGGAACTCCCTCCTTACCTGGAGAAAATTAAGTTGCAAGCCAACGAGGCGTTTGCTTGTCAGCAGTGGACTCAAGCCATCCAGCTCTACAGCAAAGCTGTGCAGAAAGCCCCCAACAACGCCATGCTCTACGGAAACAGAGCTGCTGCCTACATGAAGCGCAAGTGGTGCGTGAAGGAGGGATGTTTCATAGTGGAGTTAATGAAAGGAATTTCCATTGCTTTCTAGCAGAAGGGAGTTGCTGATGTCTTTTCCCAGATCCAAAAGGGTATAAACATCATCCCCATAACTGGCTGAAGAGTAGTTCTTAACGCTGGATTCACTTTTGTCATCAGAAACTACAAGAAATTTATTCTAGCTACCAGAGTTAGTTTTTATTTTCCTCCAACAATTCTGCCTTGCCAACAGAAAGATGCTCAGTCTGCAGAAGAGCATATGTATCAGTGCCATCCATAGCTTAGTTCTCACAGTTACTTACGTTATTGTCGAAGGCTTTCATGGCGGGAATCACTGGGTTGTTGTAGTTTTTTTCGGGCCATATGGCCATGTTCTAGAGGCATTCTCTCCTGACGTTTTGCCTGCATCTATGGCAAGCATCCTCAAAGGTTGTGAGGACCTCACAACCTCTGAGGATGCTTGCTATAGATGCAGGCAAAACATCAGGAGAGAATGCCTCTAGAACATGGCCATATAGCTCGAAAAAAACCTACAACAACCCAGTTACTTACGTTCTTATTTCATTGATAGCATTTTCTCCAGAACTAGATAGAATTCAAGAGGAAAAGTTAAAAACATGCAGTGTCAACCACTGTTTTTCATCCTTTGACTCTTCATATGTTTCTGTTTCCAACTAGTTTGAAACTTCAGTTAGCGTGGCCAGTTTTTAGGTCATCTGGTAGCTGAAGTTCAAAATATTTGCAGGATGAGAAACTGGAACTCACTAGTATAGACCACTGCTTCTTAAACTGTGAGTCCCAACCCCAAATGGGGTCCCTTTAACCCAGTGTTGTGGTCCTGAAAAAATTGGAACTGTAAAAGGTTTCTGAAACCCACTTAGTTGAGACATTTACACTGTTTTATAGTGTTTACAATGGACTCTGCAGAAGATGCTTCAGCTGTACATCATAAAAAGGGAAATTAGCCTGCTAACAAGCCTTGCAAATAGAGACTTGTTATCAGTAGATGTTTGATTTTTATATCTATTTTAATATACCTCTATATATTGGGTCATGTAAAAATTTCTCTGGCCGAAAGGAGTCATGAATGGAAAAGGTTTAAGAAGCTCTGGTATAGGCCATTGTCTGATCCAGCAAAGTGGCGTCATGTGTTGATTGACTTGTATTCATTGTATTGTTTTTGTTTATTGCTTTTTTGTTATTGATGTGTTGTCGGGCTTGGCCTTATGTAAGCCGTTCTGAGTCCCTTAGGGAGATGGTGGCAGGGTATAAATAAAGTTATTATTATTATTATTATTATTATTATCATTATCATCATCATCATCCTCAAAATGTACTTTGGGCTGTGATGAAGGAAGACCTTGCTCACATAGTAGACATCTGATGCTTGTTCCTCTTACAGGGATGGGGATCACTACGATGCTTTGAGGGACTGCTTGAGGGCCATCTCTCTGAACCCATGCCACCTGAAGGCTCACTTCCGCTTGGCCCGCTGTCTCTTTGAGCTGAAATATGTGGCAGAAGCCCTGGAGTGTCTGGATGACTTCAAAGGAAAATTCCCTGAGCAAGCCCACAGCAGCGCCTGTGACGCACTGGATCGGGATATCAATGCAGCCCTGTTTTCGAAAAGCGATAATGGTGAGGACCACTCTGACCATATGCTGCCCTGAACATCAGGGAATGTTGTATTCCTTTTTAAAATGCACAGATCTCTGTGAATTGTATATTTTCAAGAATATCCAACATCAAATTGTCAGTTGGGGGTGTTGTCTTTGTACTTGTATATTGATTCCTCGTGTTTAGAACTATAAAGGTCAGTGTTTCTCAACCTTCTTAATGCTGCGATCCCTTAATACAGTTCCTCATGTTGTGGTGACCCCCCCCCCCCCAACCATAAAATTATTTTTGTTGCTACTTCATAACTGTAATTTTTCTACTGTTATGAATCATGATGTAAATATCTGATATGCAGGATGTATTTTCATTCACTGGACCAAATTTGGTACAAATACCCAGTATGCCCAAATTTGAATACTGGTGGGCTGAGGGGGTGGTTTGGTCATTTGGGAGTTGTAGTTCCTGGGATTGATAGTTAACCTACAATCAAAGAGCATTCTGAACTCCCCCAACGATAGAATTGAACCAAACTTGGTACACAGAATTCCCATGACAAAGAGAAAATACTGGGTGTGTTTGGTGGGCATTGACCTTGAGTTTTGGAGTTGTAGTTCATTTACATCCAGAGAGCACTGTGGACTCAAACAATGATGGATCTGGACCAAACTTGGCACAAATCTTCAATATGCCCAAATGTGAACACGGGTGGAGTTTGGGGAAAATAGACCTTGACATTTGGAAGTTGTAGTTGTTGGCATTTATAGTTCACTTACAACCAAAGAGCATTCTAAACCCCACCAACGATAGCATTGGATCAAACTTCCCACACAGAACCCCCATGCCTTAAAGGGACTCGGTAGCACGAGCCTCCCTTCGGCCTTGCATGCTCCCCCTCACCTACACATGCTCATCACTCTGCCATGTGCCGAGCACGCCTGCTCTCCCTGCTTGGAGTCTCAGAAACAGCCCTCCTCTTGGCTGAGAGGCCAGCTAATCTCAGTGGAGGAGAGCTTTGGGTGGGAGGATTCGCCATCTATTTCCAATAAGGAAGAGAAGGACAGGCAAATAGATCTTCAGCCCTCTCTGACAAACGACTTCCTAAGAACATCAGAAATATATGTTTTCTGATGCTCTTTGGTGACCCCTCGGAAACCCCCTCGCAACCCCCCCCCCCAGGAGCCCCGACACCCAGGTTGAGAAATTCTGTAATAAATCTACAGATCTCGCACTCTCTGTTTGATTGTTTTTCAGTTCTAGCTAGTCTACCCCCTTTAAGAAATATTGTAGAATCACACTGCTACATTTAATGATGTACTACAGTGTCAGATCCCAATAGAGTCACACTGGTGGGCTTAGAAGTTCCAAAAAGAGACCATATTTATCAAATCTGCAAAATAGTCAAATCTTCAAAAGTTACATCTGCAATCATAAAGAATCTCTTGTTCCTGGAAAGGAAATTAGTCCCTCCACAATCCATTTACTGAGAGGATGAGGGTGGTTTGGACCTGGCGTTCCTCAGTGCAGACCCCAACTCAGCAGAGTGGATTTGGAGAAATTGCAGTACCTCAAGCTCTTTTTAAATTTCTAATTATAATATATTGTATGTACGTATAATATTGATAATAATATTGTTATACAATATAATAATAATAATAATAATAATACAATATAATCATATAATCATATATTTGATATTACATGCAGTATTAGTAATAATAGTACAATTTAGTGGTATAGTACAATATAGTAATATATAATACTAATATTGTGCCATACTAATATAATAGGGTTGTTGTAGGTTTTTTCAGGCTATATGGCCATGTTCTAGAGGCATTCTCTCCTGACATTTCGCCTGCATCTATGGCAACTATCCTCAGAATTAGTGAGGTCTGTTGGAACTAGGAAAAAGGGTTTATATATCTGTGGAATAACCAGGGTGGGACAAAGGACTCTTGTCTGCTGGAGCTAGGTGTGAATGTTTCAACTGACCACCTTGGTTAGCATTTGATGGCCTGGCAGTGCCTGGGGCAATCTTTTGTTGAGATGTGATTAGCTGTCCCTGATTGTTTCCTCTCTGTTGTTTTGCTGCTGTGATTTTAGAGTTTTTTAATACTGGTAGCCAAATTTTGTTCATTTTCATGGTTTCCTCCTTTCTGTTGAAATTGTTCACATGCTTATGGATTTCAATGGCTTCTCTGTGTAGTCTGACATGGTGGTTGTTAGAGTGGTCCAGCATTTCTGTGTTCTCAAATAATACGCTGTGTCCAGGTTGGTTCATCAGGTGCTCTGCTATGGCTAACTTCTCTGGTTGAAGTAGTCTGCAGTGCCTTTCATGTTCATTGATTCGTGTTTCAGCGCTGTGTTTGGTGATCCCTATGTAGACTTGTCCACAGCTGCATGGCATACGGTAGACTCCTGCAGAAGTGAGAGGATCCCTCTTGTCCTTTGCTGAACGTAGCATTTGTTGGATTTTCTTGGTGGGTCTTTAAATAGTTTGTATGTTGTGTTTCCTCATCACCTTCCCTATGCAGTCAGCGGTTCCCTTGATGTATGGCAAGAATACTTTTCCTCTGGGTGGATCTTTGTCTTGACTCTCATGGCAAAATCTTTGAACAAAAATTGAACAAAATCTGGCTACCAGTATTAAAAAACTCTAAAATTACAGCAGCAAAACAACAGAGAGGAAACAATCTGGGACATCTAATCACCTCTCAACAAAATATTTCCCCAGGCACCAACAAGCCACACCAAACAACAGCCAGGCCATCAAATGCTAATCAAGGTGGTCAGTTGAAACATTCACACCTAGCTCCAGCAGACAAGAATCCTTTGTCCCACCCTGGTCATTCCACAGATATATAAATCCTTTTTCCTAGTTCCAACAGACCTCACTACCTCTGAGGATGCTTGCCATAGATGCAGGCGAAACGTCAGGAGAGAATGCCTCTAGAACATGGCCATATAGCCCGAAAAAACCTACAACAACCCGGTGATTCCGGCCATGAAAGCCTTTGACAATACACTAATATAATATATTGTATGTACATAAAACTTGTAAGCTGCTCTGAGTCCTCTTTGGGGTGAGAAGGCCGGGATATAAATGTAGATAGATAGATAGATAGATAGATAGATAGATAGATAGATAGATAGATAGATAGATAGATAGATAGAACCAGAATAGGAAGGGTGAGGAGTGTGCAAGTAGGTTTTCCTGTGAAACAGCAGAGGCAGAGAGAAAGGATTTCTGCCCTTGTGAAATATGGCCTTTTGCTTTGTTCAGCGGAAGACAAGAAAGGGAGCGGCCCCATCTGGCTGCGAGCGACTGGGCGCAAGGACTCAATTTCTGATGACGAGATGGTGCTGAGAGAGCGCAGCTATGACTACAAGTTCAGATACTGCGGCCATTGCAACACTACCACGGACATCAAGGAGGCAAACTTTTTTGGCAGGTATGGGGAACTATCTCAAGCAATAGAGTTGTTACCACCATGTGTATTTATAATGCCACCGTGCATTGTTTTGTGTCCATCCACCTGTGCTCCCTACTTTGCAGAAGTCTCCCTTTTCTGCAACTGAGAAAACCCAAATCATCCTCTTTTAGTACAGTTTTGGGCTTTGTTTTCTGGGAAAGTAATAAAAATTTCCGATGATGATGTTGGATAATTTCAAAAACGAAAAAAGCATTTAAAAATAAAGCAGCAACGACAGCAGTTTTAGCAGATCAGAAGCATCTTGAGCCAACAGTAGACAAATAAGCTTCAGCAATTACAGGAGCTTTAAAACAGGGGTCCTCAAACTAAGGCCCGGGGGCCGGATACGGCCCACCAAGGTCATTTACCCAGCCCTCGCTCAGAGTCAACCTAAGTCTAAAACTACTTGAAAGCACATAACAACAACAATCCTATCTCATCAGCCAAAAGCAGGCCCACATTTCCCATTGAAATACAAATAAGTTTATATTTGTTAACATTGTTCCTCATTTTAATTATTGTATTGTTTTTAAGTGTTTTTTACGCTACAAATAAGATATGTGCAACGTGCATAGGAATTCATGTGGGCTAGGCAAAACTATGGTTAGGTGGATCTATAATTGGTCAAGTGAATGAACCCAAAGGGTGATTCTCCCCAAAGCCATAAGCAAGGTTCTATTCTGGATCTAGTTCTGTTCAACATCTTCATTAATGACTTAGATGAAACGTTAGAAGGCCTGATCATCAAGTTTGCAGATGGGACCAAGTGGGGAGGGAGAGCCAATACTCCAGAAGACAGAAGCAGAATTCAAAATGATCTTCACACATTAGAGAGATGATTGGCCAAAACTAACAAAATGATGTTCAACAGGGACAAATGCAAGACATTCCACTTCGGCAGAAAAAGTGAAATGAAAAGATACAGAATGAGGGATGATGCCTGGCTCAACAGCAGGATATGTGAAAAAGATCTTGGAGTCCTCGTGGGGAACAAGTTAAACATGAGCCAACAATGTGATGCGGCGGCAAAAAAAGCCAATGGGATTTTGGCCTGCATCAATAGGAGCATAGTGTCTAGATCTAGGGAAGTCATGCTACCCCTCTAGTCTGCCTTGGTTAGACCACACCTGGAATATTGTGTCCAATTCTGGGCACCACAATTCAAGAGAGATATTGAGAAGCTGGAATGTGTCCAGAGGAGGGCAACTAAAATGATCAAGGGTCTGGAGAACAAGCCCTATGAGGAGTAGCTTAAAGAGTTGGGCATGTTTAGCCTGAAGAAGAGAAGGCTGAGAGGAGACATGATGAGGGCCATGGATCAAGATGTGAGGGGAAGTCATATGGAGGAGGAGGCTTGTTTTCTGCTGCCCTAGGACATGCTACCCATGCTCTATTCTGCCTTAGTCAGACCACACCTGGAATCACACTGTGTCCAGTTTTGGGCACCGCATTTGAAGGGAGATGTTGACAAGCTGGATTGTGTCCAGAGGAGGGTGACTCAAAGGATCAAGGGTCTGGAGAACAAGCCCTATGAGGAGCAGCTTAAAGAGCCTGCAGAAGAGAAGGCTGAGAAGAAACATGAGGGCCACATATAAAGATGTGAGGGCACATAGGGAGGAGGGAGCAAGCTTGTTTTGTGCTCCCCTGGAGACTAGGACACGGAACAATGGCTTCAAACTACAAAAAAGGAGATTCCATCTGAACGTTAGGAAGAATTTCCTGACTGTGAGAGCTGTTCAGCAGTGGAACTCTCTGCCACGTCGTGTGGTGGAGGCTCCTTCTTTGGAGGCTTTTAAACAGAGGCTGAACGGCCATCTGTTGGGGGTGCTTTGAATGCAATTTTACTGCTTCTTGGGGGTTGGACTGGATGGCCATGAGGTCTCTTCCAACTCTACCATTCTATGATTCTATGATCCCTAGCCCTGCCATGTGATGTTTCTGCTTGCCACTTCATTAATTCCTCAGTTTGCCTGCTGTCCTTCCTCCTAGCAATGCGCAGTACATTGTCAGTGGCTCCGACGATGGCTCCTTCTTCATTTGGGAGAAAGAAACGACCAACTTGGTGCGGGTTCTGCAAGGTGACGAGTCTATAGTCAATTGCCTGCAGCCTCACCCAAGCTACTGCTTTCTGGCCACCAGCGGCATTGACCCCGTTGTCCGTCTGTGGAATCCTCGGCCGGAGGTGAGAATATAGGCAGAGTTTTGAATAGGGCAGTAGGGCAGAGTTAAGCCAGGAAGAGTTTTGGAATGCCATTTCCAGAGGGGGGAATCTGGGGGTGGTTTATGTAGTGTTTTGTAATGTTATGCATGAAACAAAGTGTGCGTATATTGTATTGTCGAAGGCTTTCATGGCCAGAATCACTGGGTTGTTGTAGGGGGGTTTTTTTGGGCTATATGGCCATGTTCTAGAGGCATTCTCTCCTGACATTTCGCCTGCATCTATGGCAAGCATCCTCAGAGGTAGTGAGGTCTGTTGGAACTAGGAAAATGGGTTTATATATCTGTGGAATGACCAGGGTGGGACAAAGGACTCTTGTCTGTTGGAGCTAGGTGTGAATGTTTCAACTGACCACCTTGATTAGCATTTGATGGCCTGGCAGTGCCTGGGGCAATCTTTTGTTGAGAGGTGATTAGATGTCCCTGATTGTTTCCTCTCCTGTTGTTGTGCTGTTGTAATTTCAGAGTTTTTTAATACTGGTAGCCATATTTTGTTCATATTCATGGTTTCCTCCTTTCTGTTGAAATTGTCCACATGCTTGTGGATATCAATGGCTTCTCTGTGTAGTCTGACATGGTGGTTGTTAGAGTGCTCCAGCATTTCTGTGTTCTCAAATATTATTTGAGAATGTATTATTTGAGAACACAGAAATGCTAGACCACTCTAACGGCCACCATGTCAGACTACACAGAGAAGCCATTGAAATCCATAAACATGTGGACAATTTCAACAGAAAGGAGGAAACCATGAAAATGATTAAAATATGGCTACCAGTATTAAAAAAAACCTCTAAAATTACAACAGCAAAACAGAGAGGAAACAATCAAGGACATCTAATCACCTCTCAACAAAAAATTGCCCCAGGCACTTCCAGGCCATCAAATGCTAATGGTCATTCCACAGATATATAAACCCATTTTCCTAGTTCCAACAGAGCTCACTACCTCTGAGGATGCTTGCCATAGATGCAGGTGAAACTTCAGGAGAGAATGTCTCTAGAACATGGCCATATAGCCCGAAAAAATCTACAACAACCCTGTGTGTATATTGAACCATCAGAAGCAAAAGTGTCACTTATCTCAACTATGCCATGTGGACAATTTTGGAGTATTCTAGATACGGGATGCTCAACCTGTAGTTACCTTAAAATTTGAGTCTCCGTTTTAGAGGGATGACAACAACAACAGTAATCTATACACATTATAAAAATGAAAATATGTATGTGGCTGGGGTGTCCACTTCCACAGACAAGCTCCCACTTCCACAAATAGCTATAGCTTACTCAGGAGACACCAATGGTGCAGGTTCTTACCTACAAAGCCCTGAATGGTTTGGGACCCGCCTACCTGCATGACCGCATTTCTGTGTACAAACCCACACGATCTCTTTGATCATCTGGAGAGGCCCTGCTCGCGCTCCTGCCTCCCTCGCAGGCGCGATTGGTGGGGATGAGGGAGAGGGCCTTCTCAGTGGTGGCCCCTTGACTCTGGAACTCACTTCCCAAGGATATCAGGCTGGGTGGGGGCTTTTGGGAAACTTCTGGAGGGCCCCAAGTGTGATGCCTCTACTCTAGAAGATGTAATTCCAAAATGCTTGATGAGACCAGTAGAAGCAGCCATGTCTAGTGAGTTCCCTCTACCGGCACTGTCACTATTTCTCTTCTTTTGCAGAGTGAGACCTTGAATGGGCGGGTAGTGGAAGACATGGAAGGGGCTTCACAGGCCAACCAGAGACGAATGAACGCTGACCCCTTGGAGATGATGTTGCTGAACATGGGCTACCGGATCACAGGACTGACTGGCAGCGGAGCCGGAGGAGGCTCAGATGACGAAGACAGCTCTGAGAGGCAGGTCCACTGCCGGACCAGCTAAACCTGAATCGCCCCTCCTCCCCTTAATTTTGTTTTTTTGTTCATTGGTTTGAAGGGAAATCTAGTTTGCCCCGTTTGGACTCTGTTGAGCGACCGCACCGTCTCCCACTATGCACAGCGTAGGACGCGCCGCAAGGGCAGGAGTGGCTTTCCTTAAACTGCTGCTGCTGTTTCTCCCCCTTTGCCTCGTCCCTCTTTTGCGCAGCCTGTTGCGTTTTGCCTCCTAGCAGCACCTAGTTTGTGCCGGGATTTGTTTTTTTTCCACATTGTCAGTGAGCAAAGTGTAAAAACTGATTGCCACCCCCTCTCTCCAGTGCTTCCTAGCCAGGATGGTAGGAGGCCTCGCCTACACAAACGCGGGTTGCAGACAGGATGTTAAAAACTCAATAAAAAAAGAAATGTAAACTAGGGTAGGGTTATGGAATGGAGTCTGATGCAGTGGTCTGTCTCCAAAGCTTGGCTTTGCCTGCTCTGCTCCTAGCTGCCCTCCATGGGCATTCCTCTTCCACAATCTCTGTCTTCCCAAAGGACTTCCGATGATGAGCATTCGCATCTAAAACCTGGTTGTGAAGAACTGGCCAGATAAACCCGGGTGGCCTAGTTAACATGGCGATGGGGGGGCAAAGATTTAACTTTCCTGCGATATCTAATAATTTTATTTCTTCCACATGCAGTAAAAGACAGAAATGGCTGTAACAATGGAGACTGCCCCGACGCAGGGCTTGGTGGTTTCATGGACTCAAACTAGTAAAAAGACCTGATGTTGCTGCTCTTTGGAAACCTGGTTTTTCTCCCTCACTTCTCTAGAAAATTTCCCATGGCAAAGGGGAAGTCTGGGGTTGCACTTCTGTGCTGACATGTCTTGTCATGCCCAGGTTTAGGCCGAGAACCCAGAAAGAATTGTGTGTGAGAACAAACCATTTGCCAGCCTTGGTCAAAGTCATCCCCTTCCCATCTCATCCATTTGTGTACTGTACGGACAGGAACCTCCCTCAGTTAGCAGCCTTTTCAGAAACCTGTTATAAAGAAGTGTACGCGAAATCAATCTCGCCACTGGCACCAATTATAGAGAAGTGCGTGTTATATACTATAAGATATCCCACAGCTGAACACCACTGTAAAGGATTATATATAACTAGTTGTACCCGCCATGCGTTGCTGTGGCCAACCTTCCCTCTCTCTTTCCCTCCTTTCTTTCCCTCCTTCCTTTGCTCCCTCGTTCCTTCTTCCTGTTTCTTCTTTCCTTCTCTCCTTCCTTCCTTCTCTGCCTCTTTCCTTCCTCCCCCCCCCCCTTTTTCTTTTCCTCCCTCTTGCTCTCCTTTTTTCCTTCCTCCCTTTCTCTCCTTCCTTTGCTCCCTCTTTCTTTCCTTCCTTCCCTGGATTTGAACCGCCAAGTCAGCAAGTGCAGCAGCTCAGTGGGTTAACCGACTGCACCACTCGAGGCTCCTATTGACACTCTTTTTTTTCTGTTGGTGAATTATCTTGTTTAGCTGTGTTCTTACCAAATTAATTTCCCTCAGATGGATTCTTCAAAGCCGATCCACTTTGCCCTTTATTTTCCCTACCAAGACTGCCTTGCCCCATCCCAGAATGCCTCTGGAAATTGCATTAGCCTTCCTTCTCTCTTGCGTTACACAACATTTCCCACTTTGCTCCTTAAATGTACAAGAAATGAAGATGGGGGAGACTCATGAGTGGGACAAATGTGATTTTTAGGAATGAGAACACTATATATATAAAAATGCTCTGTGCATAATGAGTACCTTAAAAACAAAAGAACCAATGAACGAAATCACATCAAAATTGGCAACAAAATGTCTTACAACACAAGGGGTTACCATCACTCAAAAATTGGGAGTTGTAGTTGCTGGGATTTATAGTTCTACAATCGAAAAGCATTCTGACCTCCATCAACGATGGAATTGAACCAAACTTGGCATATAGAACTCTCATGACCAACAGAAAATACTGGAAGGGTTTGGTGGGCATTGACCTTGAGTTTGGGAGTTGTAGTTCACCTACATATAGAGAGCACTGTGGACTCAAACAATGATGGATCTGGACCAAACTTGGCAAAAGCACTCAATACACCCAAATATGAACAGAGATGGAGTTTGGGGGAAGTAGACATTGACATTTGAGAGTTGTAGTCACTGGGATTCACAGTTCACCTACAATCAAAGAGCATTTTGAACCTCACGAACGACAGAACTGGGGCAAACTTCCCACACAGAACCCCAACGATGCACAATACTCACCTCAACGCAATCACCATAAACAGCTTGCATTCTCTGATGAATCTCCTTTGGGGTGACATCTGCTGTGAAGAATTCAATGACTGCACGTTGCTTAAGTCGCATTGACCGACCGTCTGCACAGGGTTCCATACTTTGCACTTCAACAAAACAACCATTCAATGATAAGGCTTCCTGCCAAAATGGAACTGTAGAGGAGAGTCTACTGAACAATCCAATACCTGCCGCGTACCAGTACTGCCATCTGTTGAGTTATGAAGGTGGAGGCATTACTTTTCATTCAACCCTCGTAGTATTGTAAGCCACCCTGAGTCCCTTCTGGGAGAGGGGGGCGGGATATAAAATGTCATTACAGTAGAGTCTCGCTTATCCAACATATACAGGCCAGCAGAACGTTGGATAAGCAAAAATGTTGGCTAATGAGGGATTAAGGAAAAGACTATTAAATGTCAAATTATGTTGTGATTTTACGAATCAAGCACCAAAACATGTTTTACAACAAATCGACAGAAAAAGCAGTTCAATATGAATTTAGCACCAAAACATTGCAATGTATTGAAGCAGTAGTGGATCTGGGTGAGAGGCAGACTGTGTTGGATAATACAGAACGTTGGATGAGCGAAGGTTGGGTAAGCGAGACTATTATTATTATTATCTAGTAGGCAGTTCTGTGTCTCTGGTTCCATGCCTGTCTGGGCCAAGATAGTGGCATCCCGGGCAGAGGCAGTGACCCTGGTTACACCCCCATCCTTGCTAAGGAGATTTGTAGACCTCTAGTGTATGTAAAGCTTGTAGCATTTTCATATCCTAGAGTATTGTTCTCTTCTACTTGTGAGAGGCAGTGTCTTCCAACAGTTCATTGCTGCATGACTTTCTCCGCCGCAAGGAGTGCGATTATGTTTTTCGGGTTCTTAAATGACAGAAAGGTTGGCAGTTCAAATCCGGGGAGTGGGGTGAGCTCCTGCTGTTAGCCCAGCTTCTGCCAACCTAGCAGTTTGAAAACATGCAAATATGAGTCCCATAACATTGAGTCATCATATAGCAGTCTTCATTATTTCTATTCTATGGTTCGGAGGTTTGAATCTGGGGAGAGTGCAGATGAGCTCCATCTGATAGCTCCAGCTCCCCATGCAGGGACATGAGAGAAACTTTCCACAAGTCTGGTACAACATCAAAAACATCTTGGTATCCCCTGGGCAACATCCTTGCAGACGGCCAATTATCTCACACCAGAAATAACTTGCAATTTCTCAAGTCGCTCCTGACACACGCGCACACAAATCCATGGTAAGCTTCCAGCAAAAGCCATTCATTTCAATAGGGCTTGCTGTTCTCTGTAAAGGTAAAGGTTTTCCGCTGACATTAAGTCCAGTCGTGTTTGACTCGCGGGGGTTGGCGCTCATCTCCATTTCTAAGTCGAAGGGCCAGCATTGTCAATAGACATCTCCAAGGTCATTAGGCCAGCATGACTGCATGGAGCACCGTTACCTTCCCGCCGGAGTCGTACCTATTGATCTACTCATATTTGCATTTTTTCAAACTGTTAGGTTAGCAGAAATGGGGGCTAACTGCAGGAGCTCATGCCGCTCCTCTGATTCGAACTTGCGACCTTTTGGTCAGCAAGTTCAGAAGCTCAGCACTCTAACCCACTGCGCCAACAGGGTTGTACTATCCTCTCACATTAAGCGTGCATAGGATCCCAGCCAGAAAAGCATGAGCTGGAATTGCTTGGCTGCCCATCGGATTGAGATGCTTGAGACAGCTGGCTCTGCTTTGGAAGCCATCCAGTGGCCGCCTTACTCTCCGGAGCCAGGTGTGGTCTATTTACATCTCGGCATCTGTCCATCCGCAAGCCAAGCCTGGCATCCAGTGGCCGGATGGCCGGCCTCGGCACCCACACACAGAGACTATTTATAAACACCAGAGTCGGTTCCTTCCAAGGCATTTAACACAGTGGTTCTCAACCTTCCTCATGCCATGACCCCTTAATACAGTTCCTCATGTTGTGATGACCCTCAACCATCAAATTATTTTCATTTCTACTTCATAACCGTAATTTTGCTATTGTTATGAACCGTAATGTAAATATCTGATGTGCAGGATGTATTTTCATTCACTGGACCAAATTTGGCACAAATGCCCAGTACGCCCAGATTTGAATACTAGTGGGGTTCGGGGAGGGGATTGATTTTGTCATTTGGGAGTTGTAGTTGCTGGGATTTATAGTTCACTTACAATCAAAGATGTTGCGCTTTATCTCACAATTCAGCAACAGATCAGTTGCACAACTTCAGCGCTTTCCTGTAGATTCTTCCTGCACAGTATTTTCAGTCAACTGCTCCCACAAACTGTAGTCACTCTGGAACTCTCCACAGGCACTTGCGCACATGCCCAGCAATTGTCAGTTTTACTATTGTTTCCCCCTCCAATCCAGATGACACTACAACTTACCACAGCATATGGTTATAACTTGCCTTAGCAGACAGGTTCCTTTAATACATTACACAGAGTCTTCGGCAAACAGCATCACAGCACAAGGAGAGAGAATACACTGTACATGACTTCCTTATATACAATTCTATACATTTACACATAGCAATCTCTGATTGGTTCCCAACTCATGAACTTAACTCAGACCCAGGATGATGATGATGATGATGATGATGATGATGATGATGATGATGATTATTATTATTATTATTATCATCTTTATTTGTACCCCGCTAGCATCTCCCAAAGGACTCGATGCGGCTTACACAGGCCAAGGCCTCAAAACACAACACAACAATACAACACCTAAAGCAAATTAAAAACAGTTAAAGCAATATTAAGAAGCAATAAACAATACATCAAGACACTATAAAACTGGGCCGGGCCAGAGTAATGGGTACAAGATTAAAAATGCTGATGTGACAGGAGGTATGTAGGATTATAGGGTAAGTGCAGTGTGCAGTGTGTGCAGCAATCTTAGTTCTACTAAAGTGCTTCTGGGACTTGGTATTGGAGATTCCTACTCTGGAAAGGCACATCGGAACAGCCAGGTCTTCAGGTTCTTTCTAAAGACTGCCAATGTAGGGGCCTGTCTAAGATCTTTTGGGAGGGTGTTCCAGAGTCGGGGAGCCACCACAGAAAAGGCCCTGTCTCGTGTCCCCACCAATCGTGCCTGGAGGGACAAAGTGCTATGAGATCGTTATTCCGGGAAGGCACACTGGGGCCTGCCTGATGTCCTTAGGGAGTGAGCTCCAGAGTTGAGGGGCCACCACCGAAAAGGCCCTCTCTCTTGTCCCCACCAATCGCGCCTGCGATGCTGGTGGGATCGAGAGCAGGGCCTCTCTGGATGAGCGAAGTGAACGTGTGGGTTCATAGACGGAGATGCGGTCACGCAGGTAGAGGTGACCATGGCATGGACCACCCCGGCCAGATCAGCCTTCACGAGGTACGGTCGCAGCTGGCGCTCGAGTCTCAATTGTGCAAAAGCCTTCCCGGACACCGCCGACGCCTGAGCCTCAAGCGTGAGTGATGAAT